AACAGGGTAGAGGAGTTAATATAAAATTGAACATAATTATATTGTCAAATTGAACAAATATTGCAATTTTGACATCTATTCATCACTTTTTATAAAATACAATACCTGAATGTAAAAAATTATATCAAAAATGGTACATTTTGAATGTGCCAATTTTAGGCACATCGTACAATTAAATCATTCTTTCCCTATGAGATATTCATAAATTTTATTCCAAATAATAGAAACTTTGTTAATGTTTATTTTTGCACAAAAGTATCTTTTATATGGTGTAAACGTTAATATTTAAAAATTATCTCTTTAGAGCTTAAACCACACATGTTACCGTTTTACCCAGAGAAATTTTTTTTTATAATTCTTGGGTAAAAAACAGTTTTATGGCAAAATATGTCAAACCGGGAAAGTCTTTCAAAGGATGAATATAGGTAAGGAATTGAATATAAAATACATCTTCACACCAAATTTAAAGTCTTTATGCTTAAGGGTTAAGAATTTACACGTTAACATTGTTATCCCGTCAATCGCTTTACCCCTAACTCCCTTATTTCCTTCAAAAATCAGGGTAAAATTTAAAAAATGTGGCTATTATATTTAAGAAATAAAATAAGTAATTTTTCATAAAATGATAGCTTTTAGATTACATTAATTTTAGGGAATTTAACCATTATCAATCAAGATAATTTAAATATTCTTCTAAAAATACAAAGTTATTTTATACTAGCATCAAATTTTTAATTTTCATAAAAAAATCTGGTTAAATTTTTGGATCATTTAAAAAACAGAGAATTACGATTAAATGTGATATTTCCTTGCGAAAAATATTACTTTTATCATCTTATAACCTGAGGTTCTTGCGAGTCTTGGGTGTTTCTCCTAGAGTACTCTACTCTAATGGTTAATTTTTTTACCAAAAATATATAATTACATTATGTATATGCGCCTATAAATTTTTTTTAAATATCAGATCATATATAAAACTTAAATAATAAAATACAATATAACCCTCAAAACTAACTTTTTAAATACTACTAAAATTTAACAAAATTAAAAAATAATAAAGGTTTTAATTATCCAATAACTATCAAACCTATTCTATATAAAATTATTCTTTATTTGAACAAAAGATATGTTTAAACTATCATAAAATATTAAAAGAGCATTTTCCTTTGAATAAACATGTTGTGAAAGCCTATGAAATGTAATTCCTTAGATGATTAACCAGAATAAATAATTAACGATAAAATTTGCATTATCTGACATAAAAGATGTCTTGAAAATTTTTTCAGAAGATAATTTTAATATTATAGTAGATAATGTGACATTAAGCAATTAAAAAATAAATTTGAAACATTCTAGAAATGAAAAAAAATTCAGATATTGACGGTTTTACCAAATACTTGGACCCTAAAAACAAGAAGAATTTTCTGTGACGAATCTATGGCAATAGCAAAAAAATTGGTCAAGGAAAAGGGTGTTTTATTTAATCCAAATAATATAAAGGCTGGTAATTCGACCATATTATAGATATTATTGGAAAATCTCATAAAAAACACCATTTTATATAAATAAAGTTAAAAGATAGAACCAATAGAAAAAAATTCTCATTTTGTGGAATCATAAGGAATTATATTTTAATTTTAAAGAAACTCGTATTGATATAAAAGTGAACTTTAGTAAATTTTGCAGATTTAAGGCCAATTTTCTAAGGAAAATGATTGGTTTTCTTAAATCAAAATTTATCAAAAATGATTCTCTTTCTGGTGGTTTAGTAACTCAATATAAGAATAATCTAAGCCATCATGAACTTGATTTTGGAAAAAGCGTAATGACATTTTTTCGTAACAGCGGATGGCAAGCATTACCAAAAGGTTAGCAGAAAGAGTTACCTTCAGCGTCCATATGAGAATCAAATATTCAACATCTTAGATTCATTTAATTTTTATAAAGCAAATATCACTGTAATTAATTACGCAAAAATATCTTGTTTAAACAGCCAAACCCATTACCGGAGTACAAAAGTATATATGAATAAACATTTAAAAAAAAGGGTGGGGGGATTAAAAGGATATATTTTAAATATTATCTGGAGAACCAAGGATGAAGATAAAATTGGATCTGCATATCTCGAGAAAATGTAAGAGACAAATCTAAGATACCGTAAAATTTCAAAATTACCGACGAAATCGATTGAATTGCAATTCTCTTTGTCAAAAATATACCCTAATCACCATGACTAATTATTTTTTAAAGTTATAAGATATTTTTTGATCCCGAATGTGACAAAAAAAAATATGGCAAGTAACTTCAATGGCATATACCTTTTTTGACTAAGAAAACTATAATACCAAATTTATTAAGAGATTAAATTTTTTCAGGGAAAAAAAATAGATTTGTCTAAACTTATTAAATATATATCTAAAATTTAAAAGCAACGTTGCCAGTGGTATTTTTAAAATCGTTATCTTGTGAAATTGAACCTATTGGGGGTTGAAGAACTCGCCTTAAAAAATGCGGGGTTGGGCTTAAAAATATTTTAAAATTCGAGCTGGGCATAAAATATTGACCGCCGGGTCTCTGATGTTACCATAGCTTGAAGAGGTGGTAGATCTATAAAATAATTTCGGCAAAAGCATTTATACCAGAAAAAGTAGTAAAGGGTCAAATAAGAGGAGACCATCTTTGGAGGTTCTCCTGCAACACCTATTTTCAAACATTTATGTTTAAAATATCCAGAAGTTAGATTTGATATAGAATGAAGTTAACACAACATAGTAATAAATAATTAAATTGAAACATAATAATTGGAAATTTAAAACCTATTTTAAAATCACTCAAAAATTAATGAAAACAAATATGCACTTAATAATTATTTCTCTAATCATGTTATATAAATAATTATTTGCAGATGTGGATCTACTGATTTCATAATCAAATGTGGCATTAGGAAAGGCAAATTGTATCCGAATTGTTGTCCTTGGAGTGAATGCAAATAAAGAATAATAGATAAAAAATGTTTAAATAAATTAATATTGTATTATTTATGAGTTAAATATGCTAAATTAGAAAATGATTTTATTATTATTTATTGCTTTTTATTTGTTTTATTCTAAAGATAGAGATAATAAAGTTTCAAAATCCAACATTTTTTTGAATGTAAATTTTTTTTATATTGAGTTGTTCTTAAAGTTGGCATTAGTGTTATTAAACATCGATTTGAGGCGATTTATAAAAACGGATAACTTAATATTTTATCCAGAACAACTTTACGCAAGCCTGAAGATTTTGGACATAGATGGTAGAAAGGTTTGAATATCTATTCAAAATTTCGAGACTTAAGTAGTATTTATCTGGCTAAAATATTGAGTTAGCCTTTTTTAAATATCGGTTCAAATCGAGCCATTTAACAACAATAATTGTCATTTTCATTTCAAACGAAGCAAATTATGTTTTAAAGCCAAGTTTTGAAAAAATTTGGTCATTTGATAATAGAGAATATATAATTTAACATTTTTATAAATAACATTTTATAATAATATAACTAAGTTAAATCAGAGGCAAACTCTAATTAAATTTAAGATGTGAAGGGGATAAAATTTGTTAATAAAAACTGTGGTGCCATGATTAAAAAAGTAAAACAGGAGCCCGAACCGCTATGCAAAGAATCCGGTTCGGTTATGGTGCAAAAAAATTAATAAGGTTACGGTTTAGTTTCTTAATATAAAAAGGAAGGTTTTAAAAAATTTATTAAGGTTTTTTCAGGTTTAATAATATTTATTTATATTTAAAAAAATTAAATAAAAAACAAAATGACACAAAAACCGAAATGATTTTATTAAGATAATGCACAATATACTAGTTAGTTAAGTGTAAGTAATCAAATATTATATAGCCCAAGTTATAATTTATACATAAAAAAAACAAAATGAGTTTACACTGCTTCAAAAAATTAAGGTTCGGTTCGCTCCATTTAGCGCTTTGGCATAAAAGTTGGGTTACGGTTCAGAAATTTATAAAGATTAGTACAGGTATAATGGTTTGATTCGCTCTGGGTCCCTGAAATGATGAAGTTAGTTATTATTTGATTTTCTTAGGTAAATTTTGGGTATTTAATGCATGGATCGGAGCCAAAACGAATATCGGTTCAAGCTCGGGTTCAGATAAGAATAAAGGTTCAGGGTTCAGGTTAGGTTCTTATGAAATAACAATATCTCGGTTCGGTTCTAATCTCTAAAAGCAGGTTTGAACTTTTTTGTATACAAACTAACATTAGAATTATATATAAAGAAGCACTTTTTTTTTTATTTCATCAAAGCAAAAAGAAGAAAGTTAAAAATATTTAGAAAATGTTGTAAAATTGCAATGTACAAAAATTTATAAAAACTGTAACTTATCAATTTAAACTGATTGATAATCTTTAAAACAATTCGGATATAAATTAGAATTTTAGCTATATACTAGTAATAACAATAACACTATTTTATAGTCATAAAATCATGAAGGTGAAACCGATTCACAAGCATTTTAGCGATTCAGTTCAGGTCGGTTAGAAAATTTAACGGTTCAGATTGATAAAAAGTACCGGTTAAAGATTAGGGTTTGATCCCTGATTTAAAGGACTGCCAAATTCATTTTCACCCCGGCGTCAAAAGCCTGAGTGAAATCATTAGGCGAAGGCATAAAATAGAGAAATATAGAGGCAAAGAGCCCCAAGCCCCCTTCCAAGTTGAAAAATGATGGCTGAATCACTAAATAGATCATCTATAGATGTAATTAGAAGTTACAATATAAATTATACATTTCAAGTTCAAAAATATAAATTATGTACAAACATGACATGCAAATTAGTAAAAGTTACGTGATACTTTAAAAAATTAATTTTATTATATTATAAATTTGACATAAACTGTTCTAAATAATAATATAATACTGTTGTTAGGTCATAGAATATAAAATTTGGTTTGAATAAATAAATAAGTGTAAATAAGTGTATTATTAAAAATAATTTAGGCGAAGTGGTTTAAAAAAGAATATAAATACCATAATATCATAACGGGTATAATTATATAAATTTATCACGATTTCATATAAATGCAAAATATATAATTTTTTGTTAGAAATTACAATAAGCATTTCTAGTAGAATATTTTATAGTTTAAATCCAATATAAATAATGCATATTATATAATTTTGTTCTTTCGTTTTTGGTTATATTACGCTATATATTTTCTTCCTTTTATCTGCGATGCACTCCAGTAATTATCACTTCAATTGTTTTTTTAGCTGTTCCACGGTTTTGACCAAAGGCTTTGCGTGAATTTTACATTCGTAGAAATTGCCCATGAAATTCAACTTAACAATATCATCATTTTGGCATAAGTACAAAGGTATATATGCCATAGCGATGTGTTTGCCGATCGCAAAGCTGTAAGAACCACTCGTCGTATAACCTACGCACTGTTTAAAAATAAATTTAATGAGAATGGATGGGTCCACGAGTTTATAAAACATAAATTATATATAATAATAAACCTTCTTTTCAATATACAAGGTTAGTCTATTTTTAGTCTATTAGTATAGTTTAATTGACTATTATTTTAAGGTTGAACTTGTAAAGGCACCTTTATAAATTTTTTTCTTCCATTTAAAAATTGTTCCAAACAATTATAAAAAATATATAAATAATATTGTTAGAAAATCATACCTTTTAAAAAATAAATTTTTATAAAAAATTCTTAATCAGTTTTTAAAGTCTTTTTTTCTTCCTGACACTAATCTCAAATGGGACCCGTTTTTTCCCTTTCCGACGGACATCTGACCTTCTTTAATTGAGTCAAACATAATTTTTTTTAGGTAATACAAAATATATGCCTATAATATTATCTTTAACAATAAATAAATTTTTATATATTAATTTGTAGCATATACTATTTTTTTTAAAAAAGGATAATATTTTATATAATTTTACAGAATCGCGCCCTTTTTTTAAAAAAATGGGCATATATATAATGGCAATGAGTACAGAAATATTGATTTATAGATAATTTAAAAAAATTCTTTTGAATTGAAAATAGATAAAAGATTCTAATCCTAAGTCTAACTCAATTTTTAGCTACAAAAATGGAGAATATAAAGAATGATCTGGTGAATTCAACGTCAAATATAATTAAAGCACAATTCAACTTTGATCAAATTTGTTATTATTTTTCTTTACCACTATAGTGATTGATTGATATTGGAGTTTTTATAAACCTTAAAAAATTTTGATTTTAGTTATATAAAATTAAATTTATTATCAAACAAAAAATCAGTTAGTAATGGAGGTATTTTTACAAAATAACAAACTTTATTTTCGTGCCAAACGCTCTCATTTCCTTCCAGATCTATTTCATCTACTTGAAATACTTTTCCAGACGCTTTATCGCTGTCGATTAACTTTTCAACTGTTAAAAAACGCAAAACTTTATTGTCCGGGTCCTTGTAAAATTGGGATTTTAAATTAATTAACGTGGATTTTCCTAAGAAATCGTTTTCCTTTGAAAAAAATAATATTTATTTTATTAATTTAAAATGTTTTATAAGTTAGAATCTAGCAGGACCGGCTGAGGGTATCATCAATAAAACAGGCCGATCCATGGCCAGATAAAATATTAAAGTTATCCCTTCATATTCCTCCTTTTTTTGCCTGTTTTGAACATATAATTATAAAATGAAAAGATCTGGAGATGGGAAATATTTACTATTCATATCCTATTTGTAATAAATACATCTTTAAATTATCAAAGATATTACTGTAAATTCAATACAAAAAACATTAAAATAAAAGAATAAAATAACTATCTTGAGTTTTAGAAATTTTTTTTTCATATATGGCTCTGAGCCGTAGGAGGGCTAGAGCTGTGAAAAAAATCGATTTTGCATGTCTCTAATATAGGCATTAATCATTATAAATGGTTTGATTCAAACTAAATATCAGAGACCTGTAGGCCAATTCCGGAACTCCGCCAGTAAAATTATAACCCGGTCCGGGCCTAAAAATAAAAAAAATTAAATGAATAGACCCTAAAAATTTTTCCAAACTCGGGTCAGGCCGTTTTTTTTACAATAAATATATATTTTATCAATTAATCAATTGAAAAATAATATAATGGGATTGTTTAACATTCATTTACTTATTGATAAAGGTTTAAACACAAATTTTGTTAAACATATTAAAGTATATTATTTATGTGTGGTTAAAAGGGGCATGAGTTATCTTAAAAATTCATTTTTACAATATTGTCTACTTATTAAAGCTGCCCAAGATGAGAAAGAAAGAAAGAATTTTCCTGTGATATGAATATAATGAGGCTTTTTTGACATCAATATCAAATCCATATTTTAAGAAATTAAGGATTGAGTCAGATGATAAAAAAAATACTTTCAAAATATATTAATAAAAGAAGCCCTAAATATAGTACCAGTAATCAAGCTCAAAATAACACCAATAAATTTAACATCTAATAAAGAAAATGATGATTATTTTTCTTTTGGTGAAACAAATGTTACTGACTTTAATAATACAAATAACATTGAACTGGAGGTTTAAATTATATTAAAGGAAGTTGAAATACATTATAAATGTTTAATTATTATCCTTCCATTATAAGGAAATTTTTTATAAATATAATAATGCAGTACCTAAATTGAAAGGTTATTTAGTTTTGACACAATATTAAGTACGCCGAAACGGCAAAGGACTAATGATAAATTATTGGAAAAATTTAATTATTTTATAAAATAATGAATCTATTTTAAATATTCTTTTGCAAAATTAAAAATACTAGTCTTCCTTCCCTATCTACGCTAAGAAATGGGCTATCACTAATATTAAAATGTCTGATTATTATAATTAACTCTTCATTAAATATTTTATTAATTATTGTTAATATTCATTCTTATTATAAGCGTATGCTATGTTCTTCACAAATAAATAATAAAAATTGTATTTTATTAACTATTCTAATTTAATTGGTAAAAGTATCTTGTAATTAAGATACTCTAATTAGAAAAAAGATACAAGTATCTTTTATCTTTTTGATATTTTGAAAAAGATACTAATATCTGTATCTAAGATTCATTTTTTCACAAAGAATCTGTATCTGTATCTAGATTCTTTTTCAGGAGGACCTGCCCAACTCTGGAAACAACTAACAAATTTAGCCTAAATTATTAAAATAAAAATTGTAAAAATCAAAGTTGGCCGGGAAGCGTAAAATAAACAAAACTCAAATTCGAGAGGACTAAATGGTTATTTTTTTTAAAATTCTAAGCAGGGTTAAATAAAAATTCCCATCTGTAGGTATTCTAAATTAATATACTAATATATGCTTTAAGTTTCTAATAATCCTATTTGAACGATATATACTTTTTGAAAATAAATATATAATGGAATAAACTGGGTTATTGATAAATATAAAATAGCTAATTAGGCCATGAGGGAATACGTAGAATAGAAGTGTAATAAAGAAAAAGGTATATGGCAGGGATGTGAACCCTTCAACAAAAAAAAGGGTCCGGGTTCGGGTCCTGTAATAAATTTTTAAAGGACCCGGGTCCAGGGTTCGGGTTAATGACTCAAAATAAGACTTTTTTTTCATTCATTTTTACTATACTTCAATATATATACACATTCATAATTCAAAATGAAATAATTTAAATTTTAAATATTTTATTCAATCGAACGATCATAATATCTTCTAAAATATCATCCTTGAGATTTCCACGTAAATTAGACAATATGTATTTCAAAGAAGAAAATCCACGTTCTACGCTGACCTAAAATAGATAGTTATCTTTATAATATATAAATTATTGTACCTGTGTCGCCGGTACAGCCATGACGAGACAAGGTATACAATTCAGGATATATTAGAGAATTTTCCTCCCAGAATGTTAAAATATTTTTATCCCTATTTTTTTCTCCTTTCTATCTGATCCTGATGATAATTTTATTTTTTTTCTCTATCTAATAATAAAATTTCGAGATCGTCAATATTACTATCATCATTACTATCGCTACAACCATTAGATGTTGAAGCCTCCAGTATATTGTTAATAATAGAGTTATGGTTATGCCATAAATCCTCGAGATGGTCTATTGCCATTTGCTTTTGCTCAATACTTAATAGAACCTGATATCGAGGATCTAAATATATTGAGGCATACACAACACTATTTTTCAAATATTGTTGCTCTCGTATTTTCATGTTTTCTAATATTTCGTATGAAAAGGAACTTGTAAATTTTTCTAATTCTAATCGACATCTCACCCATATGCCATAAAAATTGGATAAACACAACTGCTCTGACTGCAATCGTAATGTAGTAATTTTTAAAGGAACCACCCTAGTAAGGTCTTTAATTTGATTCCAATCATCCTCTGACAAAATGATTTCACATGATCCTACAATAAAATCATCACAGAAATCTTTTAAACTTATTAATCGCTCTAGCATCATACAGATAGAGGACCAACGGGTTGTGCAATCTAATATTGCCATTTGCCTTTTTATGGATTTTAATATTCGTACAATTGTAGGAGTTCTTAAATATTTAGCAACATCCCTTGCTTTGTCAATTATAGTTTTATAAAAATATTATTTTTGAGGGAATCATTAATAGCTAATTGTAGTGTGTGGGCTGCACATCTGATACAGTATATCTTCGTGGAAAAATCTTTTATTATCTCCGGTATATCAAATTCACTTATGTCCTCAAAATTATTATCATCATTATCGAAATCTATTCCATTTCGTCCAATGAACATTCATTTAATAATTTAATAGATTTGACTAGATTAGCACCATTATCCGTAGTAATGGTATAAACGTTTCTTAAAGGAATATGGAATTTATTTAAAGTTTCTATTATCATTCTTTTTATATTTTCAGAAGTTGAACTTTCTTTAATCTCCTTCATTGTTAAATTTCTTAATATTATATTATTTCCTTTAATATATTGTATATTTATTCCTAAAATATTTCTCCCTAATCTTTGGGCGGAATCTATTTTTAATGAAATTAATTTGTTTTTTGTTTCTTTTATAATTTTTGCTTGTATTTTTTTCGATTCATCAACCACTAAGTCCTTAATTTTAAAACGGTTAATTGATGTTCCAATTGCCTTACTAATAGGATCAATAATTTTTTTAAACCAGAATCTTCAATAATATTGAAAGGTCTTCCATTTATTGTAACAAGCTCAACTAAAGCATTCCTCAAATTCTCCTCAGACATTTGAATATGAATGCTTTTTTTTAAGCAAAATTTTTCAATATTATTTTGATCCTTCTTTACAATACTGATAGTAGTAGACTTTTTAACAATGTCTTCTTCCAAAAATTTGGTTTTTCTATTTAAATATTCCTCAAAGATTATAGAATGATGTCTTTTTAAATGTCTTTCCAGGTTAGTATTGTGTGAACCTTTTATCATCATGTGGCAGATTTTGCACTCAGAATCCCCTTTAGTTGCATTATAGTACTCTAACAAAATATCTTTTACTTTCATACTAAAAAAACAAAATTTAATTTGTTTAAAACTTAAAAGTATAGACACATAGGATGTATATATTTTTTATTATGGCTGCATCCAAAATCTTAAAAATATAAATAAATTTTGAAGAAAAAAATTACATAATCTATTTTTAATGTAAAAATAAAATATATGTTCAATTTCATTTTTATAAAAATTTTACAAATTGAAATTTTTAAAAAAATTAGTAAGTACAATTTTTCTTAATGCTGTTAATTTTTATAAATTTACTACCCAAATGATTATAGCCTTTTATATTAATATATTTTAGTGTCAGAAAATAATTATGGAAAGCATAAGAGTGCACAGGAACCTCTGGTGCAAAAATGACTTAAAAATTAGATATTTTGTAGAAAATAGGAAAATTTGGGAGGAAATAGGAAAAACAAAACTTGAATTATGATCAAAATTTTTAGCTGTGCTAAATTTAATAAATTATAATCTGGTAAAAATATAAAATTATAATTTAAAAGGTGCTGGAAAATTATATTATTTCTATCAAATTTTATTAACTCAAATATAATAATTTTATATATATTTTATGGAAAGATTATCTTTCAAAATAGGTTATATTATTGGTTTTCCAACTGTTTATTAAATATTGATATAATTATTCACAACATAGTATTTATTAAGTATATAAATAAAATCTAAGTTCTTAATAACTGAAAGGTAATATAAAATTAAATATTTATAAAACTTTTATTTTGATTATACTAATATTTGAATCATATCAAGCATTTTGAATATTTTAATTTTTTTAAACTTAAATGTGTCCAAGTGTTTTGTTATTAATTTGTGAAAATTTTAAAGATTTTTTCAAAATATTTTGGATGCAGCATATAACTAATTTTTTGATATGATGATTAGAATATATTTAATAACTTATAACAAAATATATATTTGCAAAACACTGCCAATTTTGATTCATTTAAATTTACTGCTTAAAAAATCATAAGATATTAATAAATTAGTCTTTAAAATTAAAATATTATTAGTTGCAGTACAAAATAATTCCAAATATTTCACTTTCAAATCAAAATACAAGTATTTCTAATAAGAGCAAATAAATTATCACAATTAAAATATTATTACTTGCACTACAATAATTCACTTTCAAAAAAATCAACGTATTTCTATAATATAGCATATTAATAAATTTACATAATAAAATATTATTACTTACACTAGAAAATAATTTATGGTATCAATCTCTAAATAAAATGAAATGAAGTCCAGGAAGAAAATCAAAAGAAAAGCGCGAATATAAAATAAATGATTCCACGAAAAAAATTAATAAAATTATCAAAATTTTATATTATTTTTTAAAAATAATATTTTTACATTATTTAAAAAAAAAATTTATATGTTAAAATTTTTACCCTGAACCTTCCACTTTTTAAAAGGGTTCGGGTCCGGGTTCGGGTTCAGCCAAAATACGAGGGTTCAGGGTCCGGGTTCACATCCCTGGTATGTGGATAGTAATGGAATAAGACACCTAGATTAAATAATCTGCTGTTTATAAATCTAATAATCGGCAATCTCCATTTTTTTAAAAGATATACTCATAACAGAATACATTTTTTAAGCAATTTATGTGAATAATTTAATGAAACCTTGTCCAATTTGATGAAGGGAGTCAATTCAGCTTGGAACGGATTTTTATCCATATTCATCTAATATAATTATTTAATTAAAATAATAATGCTCAGAATTTTCGTGAATCTAGGTAAAATAATACTATACAATTATATTCTAATATGGTAGATTATCTGTGGAAGCTTCGGGATGTAGCTGTTATGTTGTGAATTAAATAAATTAGTCAGCGCCATTGTAAATTTTTATGTCAAATTGAATATGCAATATCCTTAGTTTAAACAGTTTTTATTTTAATTATTGGTGGTAAGGGTTGGTATATTAAAGTAAAATCATAAGGTCCGATAAATTTTATTTTAAATCTCTTTTTTTCATTCCGTTTTCTTTATTTGTTTTTTTCTTAAACATAGACGCGAATATAAAAAGGGATAATTTTTTTGTAAATGTTTTACGAAAAAATACAATTAATCAATTTTCATATCAATTTTTTTAAAATAACACAAAGTATCTATTTCTCGTTTCGAGTATTTATTCGTTCGGATGTTAATTTTTTATTACTTAAATGTGCTAGACTGACTAAATTAGCAGCGAATATATTAAAATTGATTTAGACAAAAGTTTATACACCTTTCTACAGAAAACCCAAATTATTTGACTGTACCTTAAAAATAGGATAAATTTAATTGACGCTATGAATATCAATTCACAATTTGCCACGTATATATTAAATATAATAAAACTGAATTAAACCTCATGAGACCAGGCTTTAAACCCTTTTTCAATCCTCAGGGAGTTCGTGGCATACCCACCAAAATCTGTTATACCTAAGGGAAGGCCAATGTTATGAATTAAAGAGTAGAGATGCATAGTACGGTTTATGGGATGGTAGAGTTCCCAGCCTAATTCTCCTGTGTTGAAATAATAAAGGAAAATGTTCATGTAACATTTTTTTCATTAATAAATTTTTTAAAATTCATATGAAATTTATAGTGATAAATGAGGACATTAACTTGTACAAATATCAACAGAGGACAATATACCGAACGAGTGGAGAAGCATCGTCATTATACATATTCAAAAGAAGGGGGGCACGATTGTAATAACTTTACTAGTGGTATCAAATAAATTATTCATAAAAGTTCTTGATAAAGATATTGCTAAAGTGCTTAAGCGAGAGATGAGGAAATTGATATTTTAGAGAAACTCTGTTCCAAAAAGTTTTCATTCTTGAGCTGTAAATTTTTCTTAAATGTTAAATTACTTAATTAAACAAGGTTTGAACTATAATCACCCAAAGAGTCACCAAAAATAAATATCCAACATAAGTTTGAGTAATAGAAATATTATTAAGGTTATGTCTAGCTTATATTATAATATAAATTATGATGTGCATAAATGTTTTCAAACTGCATAAATTAATAATGAAACGTAACTAAAAATATGTTTTTAGACCCTTTTTTATTTTTGTTGTGTCCTAAATATATTTAAAAAAACCTCAAAATTTATAAATTTTCGCAAATTAATAAAATTATAAAACATGTCGGAAATCTTTCATTATTTTTTTTACAAAAAAAAATCTAAAAAAAACCCAAAAAAACGAGAGTAAAATACTTTAATATTACTTACTAATTTTCATAAAAATTACCCAAATAAAAAAATTTTGTAATCATCGGAAAATGATTTAGAACACTATTTTATTTTTACATTAAAAATAGCTTATGTTATATTTTTCTTCAAAATTAATAAATTTATTTATATTTTTTAAATATAGGACACAGCTTTAAAAATAAAAACAGTTATTTAGTATTTATTTTATTAAAGTTTAGAAAGTTATCAAATGTGTTTTTTAGGTTGGACATAACCTATCTCAAAACCTTTTTTATACAAATCCAAACTGTTTTTTTCGAGATCTTTTTTTATCACTTTTTTTAAAGGTTTTGTGTTTTCGAAATCTTATTTTTAATATATCACTTTTTTATAAAAAAATTGTTTACATGTTTTTTTTCACGACAATTATCATGTAAACGGTTTTATAGTGCATTGTATATAATTTTTCTCATGACAAATAATCTCAATAAACTAGTCAAACAGATAAGTAATTGAGAGAACAAAGTTATTTTCGACCAAAATTGTATATATAAGAAGATAAAATATTACCGATCATCTTATTTTTATTTTACGTAAAATGTTTTAAATCTTGCTCAATTCTCAGATCTATTATTGTATTGCGATTGCGAAATTTGTTTACGATTATAAATTTAATAAAGACGAATTGGATTAAATAAAAGGAATCTATTTTGATAATTAAAGAGTGATGCTTTCCTCTAATTAATTTTTGCGAATGCCTATCTCCCTTTTATTTTAATATAAAGCCAGGGGTAACTCCGTGGTGCGGCTCTGGCCGCTCCTTACTAACCAGCAATTCCCTTTTGATTTATTCCGTGTTAATTTACGTGAATAATGTTTACATCTAGAAAAACTACGGGTTGCGCCGTAGTGGGACTCAGGCCGAGCTTTGCTAATAAATCCCGGTTTCCTTTCTTTTGACCTATTATACATCCTAGAATAGCGCCATCTCTAAAACCGGGTCCCCAAGTCCTCACTCTTGAAAATCCCGAAGGATCAATCGTGATCGAACCCTCCCTCACGCCATCGTTCGGGGAGCCTGTCAATGGCCTCAAAATTTTTACTGACGCCCAACGACGATCAAGAGGAGGCCACCGAACATGATTTAGAATGCTTTTCATTAATCTACCGGCATCATACTGATGCAAATTTATCTTTTTATAAATAATTAAGAATACTTTGCAATATTCTCAATCTCCTGTTGGATTCGCAGACGTGTTGCTAATTGCTAGTCCTTTATTAATATTGTTGATAATTATAATGGTTTTTATGTCTTCCATTGACAGTCCAAACATCGGTTTAAGGATGAATACAGTTTTTAGTTTTGTATATAATATGTGACCACATAAAGATAGGAATAACGACAAGTATTTTGTCCCGGTTTGATGCCGATGGATGAATAAAAAGCTTTATAATATTAAGTGGCCTCCTCGTAAATAATTAAATGCAGGTTGGGCGCAAGTGAAAATTTCGGGGCCATATTGACAGGCTCCCGAACGATGGGATGAGGGAGGGTTCGATTACGATCGTTCCATCGAGATTTTCAAGGGTGAAGACTTAGCGACCCGGCTTTAGAGATGGCGCTTTTCTAGGATGAATCTATAAAAGGGAATAAGAAAGGAAAATGGGGATTTATTAGCAAGGCGCGGCCTAAGTCGCCCATAATGCAACCTGTCGTTTTCCCTAGAATTAAGCATTATTCATGTAAATTAACAGGGGATAAATCAAAGGGGAATTTGGTTGGTTAGTAGGAGTGGCCGGAGCAGCATCATGGAGCAACCCGTGGCTTTTTATTAAAATAAAAGGGAATAAGCATTTGCGAAAATTAATTAAGTGAAAACAGGGTCGTAAATTCGAAGGAATTTTAGTACCCTATAAACTAAGGGCATAGGTATAATAAAATTAATAATAACATGATTTTTTTCACCCGTATAACTTAACCGTATGCCTAAGATATTCATGTCATTGCCCACTTTAAAATTCTTGTTTTCCATAAATTTCCAATCATCGATCAATTTTCCATTTTCGGTCAATCTTTCCATCACATTTTTAGAGAGAGGACCCGCTATGCTCAAACAACCCAATTCATCGGTTACATTCGAAAGGCATAAATCCTGGTTATCAATAGGAAAGACGTTAGATTTCGGGAAATTATTTTCTAGGGCGTAGTTGTATGCTTGATGGCTGAGCCATCTTGAAAATAAGATCAAAAAATATTATAAATAATGATATGGTTTATATTTATAGTATAGTTAGATTCCAACATGGTAAGGCAAAAATAATTTGATGATGCCGATGACATGCCTTTATTTTAAGAGTATTTTTTTTATTCAATCTACATTTTCTTTCTTTCTCCTTCCATCTCTCCCATTTTTTTATTTCCTTCCTTTCATTTTTCTTCTTTCTTTTTCATACAAACCTAAAATCGTGCAACTCTGAACCAGCTCCAGTAACCAATAAATAATCGTTAAGTGTAAGATGGGATATAGTCATCTCGCTAAACACATTGCCACTTTGAGGTGCTATACAATGAGCTATAGTAGTTCTACCTACCTTTATTATATTTGAAGAAGAAAAAAAAATTACCGTGTGGCGAAATGGTAAAATAACTTTTATCCAATCATTCTAATTCCTAGTAATTAATTAATTACTCAAAAAAAAATTATGCTACGAACTTATCTGATCGAAGTCGATAGGACTCAGTAAGACATTTTCCAGGATTTGGTATTTGATTTTAAAATTTATTCTGGACCGGTACGAACCATTTAAAAATTCTAAATTATCTTGTTATTTAATGTTTAACTATTAAAATTATTTTTAAGAAAAATTCAGAAAATTGGTTATTATTCTTAAGCATTTATAACTTTCCTGATCTCGATGAAATATCGGGCCTTTTCAAATGTCCAATATATAGAGCTGTGCCGATCCACATATTTTTCACCAATCCTATCCGATATTGTTCAAAACAGATCCGATATTTATATTGATTTTACATCACCCCCCTGTGAACCAAATGTAATTAAAAAATCAATATTTTTTATGCAAAAATGCATTTAATTTAATTTTCTTTAATTCTACAATAATTAAAAAAAGTTTACGGATATTGGTGGTATTAAATGAATTTTTCATTATTCCTCCCATAAAAAGATTTAAAATAAATAAAACTTAAGGTGTTCCTTTCTATTTTTATAAAAAACTTTTAAAATACTATAAATCTATTTAAAAAAATAAATAAAATTTAAGGGGTGTTGTTGCATTGTTTAAAAAAAAATTATTTAGAAACTATTATTAATAAAAAAATAAAAGTAAAAAGATCGGATCGGTTTTTTACAGGTATCGGCCCGATTCGATATTTTTTGCGATCCGATCCGAATTTAATATCGGCACAACCCTACCAATATATTGGATCTATTTCTAACTAAAATTTCGGAGAGAAACTCGTAGAACAAAAATTTTTAAATTTTTTTCTCTGATGGGGTTGGACCTGAAAAATAGGTTCGAAGCGAGGCTCTAAGATTTTGTATATCTCCGTCCCTTTTTCACACCCATTTCTTCTTCTAATCCCTTCCCCAATGAAGCTTATTCTGAGGAGGGAGGAGTGTTATAAATGCTAATTTTTATCTTCCTTTTTTTAAAAAATATTTTAAATTGCGAAAATTTATCGTTATATATATAATAATAGTTGTTATTGAATATTCAAAATTATTCTTTTTTTTTCAAAAAAATGTAAGGTTAAACTTAAAAGTATTCCAAATGTTTACCAAAAAATATTTAAACAAAAATTTTACTTTTATTATAAAGTTCTAACTTCACGTTTTGTAAATTGAGTGGTAAAACCTTATCCTTAGGGTTCCTCTTACTCATCTTCGTCCCTTTATATTAATTTTTTTTATAAATATATTAGCATAAACTCAACGTGTTAACCAGATTTTTTAAAAACGGGCCGGGCTGTGCAAATGATAACTCTGCAGGTCTCTGATAAATATCAAGGAAATATATTATTCGGTATATGATTGTAATAAATCTTTATGTAATATTATTCAAATGTTTTCTCTATTAAATTCAATACAGCTCTCCCAAAATCCTACCTTCAGTCTCATTGCGGCAGGGAAGTGGCAACGTCCTTTGACGGCTAATGAGGTTTAAAAGAATCCCTGTGGTCTGTTTCTAGAATAGGATCACCGTCTCCTCAATGGGGTGTAGAAACCACCTAGAGAAGCTGATGTCTGGAAGGGCAATCGATTGTAAAGATCGTGCTCCAAAAATTCCTAATGGTTACAACAAAGCATGAGCGGCGTACAGCCCAAAGTACTCCGCAGGCCTCCTCATCTGCCTACGATAAAGAAAAGGATGAGAAACCTGGTGGAATCACGATTCGTGAAAATGAAACATATGACGGCTATAAACGACCTGATAATATGTAGAGAAACCAGTTTACAGGGGATAGAGTAAGAGTTGCGATATGGAATGTTGGGAGTATGACAGAAAGAACGGGAGAAGCGGTCGATGCATGGGATAGAAGCATATAGATAGGTAGGTGTAGCATATAAGAGACCAGATGGAAAGGTAATGGCGCGAGAATGATTGGCAGGAGAAGTGAAAAGTATAAATATTTTAGGCAAGGAGGTAATGATGGTAAGGCTGACATTGGCGTATTGGTTGCAGTGAAATGGGTGAGCAAAGTAATAGAAGTAAGAAGACTAGGTAACCAGACAATGATAATCAAGATGATTTTTGGTAGAAAGTTATGCAATAATATTTTGGCATATGTTTCTCAGGATGGAGAAGGGATTATTCTGGCTGGTGATCTGATGGACATGTAGGAGCGAGTAGTGAGAGTTATGAGGGAGCACATGGAGGATTTAGTTACCGCATAAGAAATCCGGAAGGGGAGAGAATTTTGGATTTTGGTGATGCTTATGATTGTTTGTAATACAATGTTTATGAAAGAATCAGAGAAGCTGCTTACTTACAAGTCGGATAGTATTAGAGGTACGGTGGATTAATTGTTAGAAGAAGATGTGATAGGAGCATAGTAAAAGATGTTAAAGTGATACGGGGGGGTGTATTGAACGGCATCGACTAGTTATTAGAGATCTCACTTTTAACAGGATCGCTAAAAGAAAGTTTCTGCCAAGGCTCAAGGTTTGGAAATTGAAAGAGATTACTAGACGTCAATTCAATATGATATTAGCGATGAAGTAAAGGTGGCATAAGCATCTAAGGTAAATGACAAGTGGGAAGCCATGAAGAAAGCCTGGGTGAGGACAACTGACGAGGTAGGTGGATGGACAAAAGGGCAGTCTAGATATAAGGAGTCATGGTGGTGGAATTTGGAGCGAAAGTTGTGGACGAGAAAGGGAGGTGTTTGAAAGAATGGTATAATAGTAAAGAAAATAGTGATAACGATATTTACAATTTGGCGTAAAGAATAATAGCGATAGCGCAAGAAGAACAAAGGCAGGATTTTGCTAAAGAATTGGAATGCGCGGAAGAAATGTGAAATGTGGTCCGAATGGTAAAGCAGATGGCAAATGAAAGGCAGGATGTAGGTGTTAAATGTTTGAAAAATATGGAAGGAAAAATGGTAATTGATAGTAGTGGTATTAAGAACAATTGGAAAATCTACATGGAAGGACTTTTGAACGAAGAGAATGAATAGGATAATGATGTTAGTTGTGCAAAGGTAAAAGGTTCAGTGTGTAAATTTGGCAAGGACAAAATTAAAAGAGCAGTGAAAAAGATGAAAAAAGGGAAGGCAGCGGGTTTAACGAGAGTGGTATCAGAAATGTTTAAAGGTTCTGATGACTTAGGGAGTGAATGGTTAATGATAGCCAATCTAATTGTCACAGAAGGAAATATTCCCGAAGATTAGCGAAGAAATATAATTATTCCAGTATACAAGGGGAAAGGTGATCCGTTAGATTGCGGGTCGAACATGTAATGATTTTTGAGAGGGTATTAGAGAAGTGAATAAGAACAAAGAAAAATCGATTGGGAAAAGGCATAACATGCAATTTTTGTGGTGAGACAAATACAAGAAAAGTTTCTTGCAAAGGAAAAGAAACTGTATTATGGGTTTGTTGACTTGGAGAAAGCATTTGACAGGGTGCCACGTAGGGCCTTGAAGAAAATCAGGTGTGGAAGAATAATTAGTTATATTAGTGATGGCAATGTATGTGGGAGCACAAACTGCGGTACGTATGGATGATGGAGATAGTGAAAGCTTTGATGTGAAGGTAGGACTTTATCAGGGATCCGTGCTGAGTCCATTATCATTTATCTTAAATGAATGTGGTAGCTAGAGAAATGCGCAAAGGACTTCCCTGGGAGCTATTATATGCAGATGACCTTGTAATAATGGCAAACAGTGAGAAAGAATTGAGGGATAAAATTAGTAGATGGAATATGGCTATGGAAGCAAAGGGTATGAAAATGAATGCAGTTAAGACAATGATGGTTGGTGGTGATAATCTGAAAGTGAAGGAATCCGGCAACTGAGCTTGTAGTGTATGTGGGAAGGAGTTGCTAGAATTCAATTTACAGATGCCAGAAATGAGTGCATAAAAGATGTAACGGGAAAAAAGGAAGTCTGATATTAGCAAGAATGACATTTATTTGTAGAATGTGCATATAAGGGGTACATAATACTAATAACGTCGATAACGGTGGGCAATGGGTTAAACCTGGAAAAAGTAAAAAAGTTTTACTATTTGGGTGCTATGTTAAATGCAGAAGGTGGTGTAGTTCTGCTGTGCAAGGGATAGACAAGCATAGAAAAAGAGATTTGGTCTATTCTAACATATAAAAACGTCGCTTCGAAGTTAAAGGGGAAGTTTACGTAAGCTGTGTGAGTACTTATTTAGTTTCGGGCAATGAAAGCAGCCCACGAAGCCAAATTGGAAGAAACAGAGATGAGGATAATTAGATGGATGTGTGGGGTATCTATGTGAGAGAAGAAAAACTAGCAAGGAATTGCAAGCAAGAATAGGTAAGGGTGATTGGAGTGGTAATGAGAAGATATATATTAAGATTCATGCGGAACGTAAGACAAAAAATAACTGGGTAAAGAGATTCACCTTGATGGAAGTAGGAGGATCAAGACCTAGAGGAAATCCCAAGATGACGTGGATAAAAGTGATAGCGGCGGATTTAAGAAAAATGAATCTTACAAATATTGATGTACAGGGCCGTCAAAAATGGAAAAGAAAAATCAGAAGGAAAACTGTCCAACTTGAAAATCGCCATTAAACGAAGAAGAAGAAGAAATTCAATATAGATTTAAAGAAATATACTTAAGGTATAATATATGTGTTTATAAATGAATCTTTTTTAAATATAAATTTTGTTTACTCCAAAACAAAATTTTCCTCTTTCAAATTACTAAATTTTGAATTTCTTTATTTCTTATTCCCTCAAATAATTCATTCATTTTATACTTTGGGCAACTTATTAGCGAAAATCCAATCCAAAAAATCATGTGCTCGAAATCCGGATATCCTAAATTTCCCGAAAGGTGTGAGATCGCTAAGGCCTACACAATTTGTGACGTCTTGCACTTCTTGCCTCATAGCGTCAAACCATTCTGATTGAACGCCGTAATAAGGATTCATGTGGAATTTATGGTAAATTTGGTCATTTTTTATATTTTGGCTTTCTTTGGCTATCAAGTCGTTGCATCTGATGTCTCGCCGCATTTTATGGGGTAGAAAGTATAGAGCCTGTTCCCAACCTGATATTTAAAATTTGTAAGCTACATCATTTTCTCAAATATCCCTATTTATTTTTATTACTTTATAGATTTCCCATATATCTTCTCGTAATATTATTTTAAAAAAGATCTGCAAAATTACAATTTTATTTGATTTATTCATAGTTGCGAACAAACTTTGTCCCACCGGAACTAATTATCATAAAATATTTCTCGAGCAACTACAACTTCCAAAATTTTAAGCAACTATCTAATCTAAGCTCAAAATGCAGGCCACTCGATTTATTGTGAAATTTTATAAATAATAGTAAATTAGTTAACCATTATTAAATCCCATTATGGCTCCTTTTTCCTTTGAAAGATATTGGGCCAAAGGCGTACACCTTTTAGTCGGTCTACCAGCTATTCTTTGTTCTCTAGGGAAATAGATGGCGTTGTTCATACCATAACTTTCTCTCGCTTTCGCAAAAACGTATTTTCTTGAGAGGAATAAATGTTTTAATATTCAAAAATAAATTTATCACGTATTTATTATCATATTTTACATTATAAGTTTATAATGGTATATTGATAGCAAGGATCTGCTGGTCTCAAAAGTCAAAATCCAGCATAATACCGAAATAGGGCTAAATATTTTACTATATATTATATTTAGTCGATAATTTTTCAGAAAAGAATTTAAAAAAATATATTTCATATTTTAGATAGGAGATACATAACACTATTATAATGAAAATAAATAATTCTTCCAAATTATATTATAACATACTCATTGGTGATAAGGAAGTAGAGTACCAAAGGACTGATTAATTGAAAAAAATGCATTGTAAAAAAGTGGATATAGAACACTATAGCATTCAGCCAACGATTTATAATGTGTCAATTAAATATTAAGAAATAGCATGAAGGATCTTTCAAAGATCAACCGATAAATTATCCTATATTATAAACCCTAAACATGTTTAAAATTTAATAACCAGTGAGACCAAAATATCATTGGAACATGACAAATTTCCATACACTACAATCTCTTACCTATATTGGTAAAATTCAAAGCTAGATCTGAGCCATTCAATAAAATTATGTTTTAAAACAAAATAATAAATAAAGTAAATCGATCGATTGGTGTAGCAACAAAAACATTTAATTCAAGATAAAAATATCATAGAAATATAAAACAATTATTATCATTCAGCTTCAGTAGAAAGGGTATTTTCATTATTTGAAGTGGTTCATTTCAAACTTAGAAATTTTATAAGGAACTGCAAAGGAATGAAGATTAGTTTTATTATTTAATCAATTAAATTCAAATATAAATGTCGAGGACATAGATATTACTGTGATTTTTAATCTATAAATATTGTAATTTTATTTTAATTTTACAATTTTTTTGTTATTGTAAAGAAGTATTACATTAACAATATTAATAAATTCTATAAGAAAATAAGAATTGATATTAGTTTAAATTATTAATTAAAAGTCAGAATATTAAATAATTTCGCGCTACATTGAGTTTAGAATTAATAACGAATTTTATATATTGTGCTAAAAAAATAGAAAATGAAAGAAAAGTAATATAATTTTTTTTTATCTAATAAGCAATGATTGATTTCACTAGTAAAATTTGGTATTTTTCAATTAAATAAAAAACAACTAAATTTTGAACTAATCTGCCTATATTAAATATCATGATCAAATTTAAATCGTATTAAAAATATTGATTTAGATCTCTTTAAAAAAAATTGGGTGGGATTAGTGAACCCTATTTCTTCCTTTATCACCCGTCTTTTAATAATTATTTTTTTTATAAAGATAAACTTATCAGCCCATTTATCAGGATCGAAGCGATCTGGATCGCATTCTATCAAATCGTAAGGTGGTTCTTCATTTATTATCCATTCTGCCAAGTATTTTCCTATTCCCCCCGCATGTACGATACCATAACTTTTAATAATAAAATTTTGAATTAATTGATTGATTTCGAAAAAAATTCTAACCCAGAACCAGCTGCAATCCAAAAGTTGTTGGGTAAATGAGATACCGGACCCACCAAAGGCAGAACATCTGGGGTATACATAATAGGACCGTGCACGCAAACCTATTTAAATTTGATCGAGTGTTAAAAAATATTGGCAAATATGTCAGATTTTATAAAATTGACTAAACGAAAACTGTATTTTGTATATTTAGCGTCAATGTGTTATTTTTCAATTTTAAATCATTTTTTAAGCGCGTTTTTTTTAAATTTAAAAATCTGATTTTACCGGTAATGTATTCCAGCATGTTTAGAATACCTATCTTATGAATTTGGGAAAACTAATATAAATTATATTAAAATTTCATAATAAAATTATCTGGGGTAGATATTTTAAACATGATGAAATACATTTCCGGTAAAATTAGATTTTTATATTTTAAAAAACGCGCTCAAAAAATGATTAAAAGTTGAAAAAATAACACATTGCCGAAAAAATACGCTAATGTATATATGGTGAATTCCATATCAAATCAACCAAGGTTTCAACACGACCCCCTTAGAATTTTTTATAATTTTGTATATTAGTTGTATATATTATAACTAAGAAAAAAAAATGAAAGTTTACTTATACCACTCACTCGCTAAGATATAAGGGTTTAAAGAGTGGAAAAATGGTAACATTTTTGTCAAAATGCACTTCATTAGCTTTCAAATATCTCAAGAATAAATAAAGTTAGAACAATAATTTAAATTTTATTATATAGCTTAATAATGGATCTTTAATATGACATATAAATAAATGTGATAAATTCCAATTAATACCAAACCGAAAATGGGCATAGAAAAAAAGTTATTTTATTTTTCAAATTTTTTTTCCTAAAGATGTATCAAGGGCTGCTTTATATATGTACAAAATCCTAGACTAGCATAAACATGGGTCTAGGAGCTACCACCCTTTATATGGTTAAAATTGATCAAATTTAACATAAATATTCTTATATTTAAATTTAATGAATACTTACGTAAAAATTTATATTTAAAAATTATGTGTAAATGAAAGGCCCTTAGCCTTACTTTATTATTTAAAAAAAATAATATAAGGGGGAGGGCAATGTGGTTTATAACAGTTTGGTTAATTTTCTCTCGAAATTACGTGGCAAAATATTCTAAACATACTTTATAAATTTATTTGACTAAATAATTTTTATAATTACATGTGATACAATCAAAAATTTATCATATATTAAATCACCCGAAGAATTTGAATAAACTTTCATTTTATTTCTTCTATGGGAATAAAAGTATGAAAATTTTGTGTTTCAGAAATTTATTTTGCTGTCAAATATCTGTTTTTAAGATGATTTTTCATATTTAGATATTCATCATTGCTCATAAATGTATAATTTATCTCTGATATTATTTCTTGCATAGTTGTATAAATCCATTGTTGTCAATATATGATCATATGAACGTTGCAAGCTTTCTCGAGCTGCCAACCGTTTAGTAACGCTCCCGAAACTGTCGCAGGGACGTTTCTCAGGTGAGATTGCAAATAAATGCCAATCTTTATCCCAAAATCATTTCCTTGTTTGTAGAGGTCAATGAACCTTTTTTATTTTTATATTAAGTAACTGCCCCATCAGATAAAATAATGAATTTTGGCCACTCTGCTAAATCTTTCTTTAAGATAAGATGAATTTTGCGTGAAATAGATAAAATGCACACGTTGTCTTTTAAACAATCACATAAAACAACAAAATTTACTGGTTTAATTCACCTGTCTCAACAGTAATAAACCATTCAAAGGTGAATAGTAATCTGATTATTGGTCCATAGGAATCCTTGTGGGTGGTCCTGCGCAAATGCATAATTTTCTTAAGGGTTAGATAACCAATAATTCGCCAGCATATAAATTGGATTTTAATGAGTTATGAAATAAGGATGGTTGTGATTTGTGAAGCTATAAGAATGAAGAACAAAATTATTTAATCTTTTTAAATAATCTACAAATTAGTTGGCGGATTTTGTCAGCGTTTCAATAAATTCTATATAATCTATGAATTTGCATCAAATAATAAATTAAGTCTCTTTTATTTACGATTTATGCGAAAATAAAATATTCTAAATATTTTTCAGATAAATTAGCCTAAATTTACAAGCAAACCATTATATACATCCCTCCCTCCACCTCTAAATATATTTTTTAAATATTTTCATTTGGACATAATTTTTAAATAAAAATTAATAAGTATTCATTAAATTTACATATGATGATATTTATGTTAAATTTGATCAATTTTAGTCATTTGTCATAACTCCCCCACGTTCAACAGTCTAAGATTTTATACAAATACAAAGCAGTCTGGTATACATCAATTTTTTTATATGTCCATTTCTGGTTTTGTACTTCCGGTTTTGGGTATTAATCAAGCTTCAATCATATTTATTTTATATCATTTAAAGATCCATTATTAAGATATATAGTAAAATTTAAATTAAAGCTTTAAATTAATTTATTTTTGGGATATTAAGTTAAATGAAGTGCATTTTGTGAAAAATGTACCATTTTCCCACTCTTTAAACACCTATATCTTAGCGAGTAAGGGGTAAAAGGAAGTAAATTTTTTCTTGTAGTATACACTATCATTATGCAAAATTTTAAGAAAATCGGAGGAAGTCGGGTTGAAAATCGACTTTTTGGTTGATTTAATATGGAATAATTCACTATATACTAATGATAAAGATGTATGAATTGTATACAGAACTGCAAATACTTTATCTTAGACACATATATCTTAAACTTTGTATTTTTTTGACATTTTAATCGGTATCTAAGATATTTTATTTACAAAAGAATTTAGTATTTTTTTTATTTTCTTGACAAAAGATATGGAAATATTAGTGCACTTTTAACCACATTTTTTTTTCGTGCAATAAAATTGTTGTTTTTATATCTTTCCGATATTTATATTTTAAAATTTATATTCATCATTATTTTATATGACATGCCAACTTTATTGTTGTATGCAACCTAGATATTTTAATTTATAATTCCTTGCCCATATTTATATTTATATTAACCCATTAATAGGTTTTGGGCAAATTCAGATATACCTTTATTGTAATTAGTCATATTTGACTGTCTAACATTTTAGATTTATTTTGGACACAGTTTACTGGATTATTAGAAATAGTAATATTGGGTGTTTTGATGATTGCAGTTTTAGTTTAAAAAAATTTTGACGACTGTTTCAAGATTATCTAAGTTAAATTCCCTCGAGCCCTATAATCGATTCAGTATATTATTATCAGGTTCTCTATTAATAAACAAAATATCACATCATCATAGGATTGTACAACGAGTCTATTAAACGGATTCTTGTTATGAATCGTGTATTGCTTTTGTGTTTTTATTGTTTAGTTTTACATAATTCTTTTATTATAGTTATTACCAATTTTTTAGATACTCTCCATCAAGAATAAATGTTCTTAAATCGTAATATGAAAATTTATTCATTCGTATTATTTTCATAGCTGTTACTTCATTTAACGTGTTTAACAAATGAAGTTTTTTTAAAATCATTATATTGATTTCATTGATATAGAAAATAAGTTCCAATTTTTTTTATGTTCGTCTAATGTTATCTGACGGAATAATTTTGAAATGTTTCACCTGTACCACCACAATGATGTTGTAGATGATAAAACATAACATGAATTTAGTTGTTTAAAGTTTAATATTTTATATAGTGTTACTTAATTTCCTGATCCCCAGTGGCGTAGGCATGAGAGGGGGTGGGTATTTTAGTGAGTCCTAATAATGCATTACATATTGTTCCTTGCCTTATAATTTTTCTTCTAGCATAATGCCAATCTTAGAAAAAATTTTTATTTCGCCAAAAATGTTTTTCATTTTACTATCCACCAAACGGGTTGAAGCACTAAGTATGAAATACGCACTAATTATTGACATAAATTTCCGAGATAATGCTTCCAGATGATTGGCTAACCTTATGACTAAGACGTGATATCACAGTTAGTTTTTGGTTCATAATTTTTACTTTTTTAATGACTGGCAAAATTGATTAAAGAATTGATAAGGCACTAAATATTAAAGCAAACCATAGTTAGAACTTTTATATTCTGGGTTCTGACATGATGCTAATTTTGAAAATTTTTAATTTTTATCTATAATTCTTTTCCTCCAACTATTACACAGAACAAAGCAATAAAATATACTAATAAAGTTCCACTTAATAGTTTAGTAGAAGTTTCAGAATTAGTGTTTCCAAAAGCTTGGCTCACTTCAGGCTTAAAGCATGTCAAAATTTTCATTGTTTATAACTCTATTTCTTTTTGTGGTTATCATATTTGAGTGAGGAATTGAAAGTACTAGTCAAGCAATAAATATTAGCGTATGCCAAATATATATTTTTTATATTATCCATTTTGGCACGTTATCTATTTTGGCAATTTTCCTTTTTCTCTATACTGTCTACCAAAAGGAATAATAATATATAATTAAGTTCTAAACATTGATAAAATTTAAAATGCTCAGTCACTTTTAATCTTAAGCTTGGCCAAAATCTTGGTACCAAAATATTTTCCTTTATACTGGCTAAAGTCAGACACTAAAAAGCACAAAACATTGTCATATTTTAGAATTAAGGCTTGTTAAGCGGACTTTAACGGAGATTATATAAAGACCACCGAAAAATTAATATATAAGAATTTTTTGCAGAAGGAACCCGGCCGAAGGCCGGGTAAAAAGAGGTTTGGGAGCAAAGCCCTCCAAAATTTATTAAAATCCCCCCTCCCTTATAGGAAAATCGTGGTTACGCCACTGCTTATCCCCCCCCCCCCCAAAATTAAAAACCCGATAATTATTATAAAAAAGAAATCTTAAATTTCTTAGCAGTGCTGACTGGCAATACAATCCAGATAATGGCTAATAAGATGGACATGAATACCAACCTACTTAAAAAATAAACATTAATCACGATGATGTTCAAGAATTTATTTTAATGAGATGAAGTTCTCATAAATTAATATACTCCCCCCCCCCCTTTTAATTAAGAAAAGAAAAGTGTTTTAATAATTAGAAGTTAAGATTTTTTCTTTTTTCGAAAGGTATGTAAAATTTAAGATTTAAAATTTTCTTTTTCCTATAAAATTATTGGATTGGGAAAATTGTTAATAATTTGGTCATTTATTATAATCGATGGAAATGGATGTCGCAAGATTTAAATAAGGACAAGACGCCTTATTATATAAATTGTTCTGTTTTTTTTGCATTTATGCTCTATTCCTCTCAAACCTTAAAATATGGTATATGAAGTGATATTATTTACGTTTTATTTTAATAGTGTTTTTTATAATATTATATTATATTAACTTCAATGTACGTTTGTGTACTGCCGCAGAACAGTAAATCAAATATTTAAATTATCGATAATTGTAAAAGTTAATAAAATATCGTTTCTTATATTAAGATATAACGATGAGTTACATTTTTTGAATTTAAATTATGTTATTGGAATTATAGCGTTGTTTGATTTAATAAAGATACTTCTGAATTCTGATATTCTTAATTTGAGCTAATTCTTAAAGTATATAATTAAAAGCAAAAGTTGAAAATAAACAGTTAATCCTTCGAGGATATGAATTATGTGTAAAACAAACCTTGATTCCAAGGTCCTTCAGAACCGGAAATCGTTTTATAGCAGCTTCTAAATAAGGAAGTAACCGGTCTATATCGGGTGGAAACAGCTGTTTTCCAAAATCTAGTTTTTAAATTTTTATTAAAGTTTAAAAAAAATTAAACATTTCGTCGTTCGATTATTCGAGTACTCTAAATGTGTTTTCGCTCAACCTAGAGCCCTAAATCAGACCTATTTTTTCAGGTCCGATCCGATCCAAAATAAATTTCAGGACCCTGGTTTAAACTGAGATAATCGACTTTTAAGTTGTAAATCATAATTCTTGCCAAGCTTACCAAATTGAAAGAAAATTTTGGATAGAGCCTTAATTTTTTTTATTATGAAACTTTTCATTTTTTTGACACCCTAAAAATGCAAATGAGTAAAAATATCAGCAAAGTATCCAGGATTTAATTTTGGAACCCGTCCATAAATTTCTGGAGGCTTCGCCCCATATCCTAGTTCATGTCGGCCCCGTCTTTGATGAGGGCCTATATGACGCTTTTTTTTTGGAGTTCAGCTTTTAATTATCTAATTATTGTTCAATCCAATCAACCAAACTCGTATGAGGTCGAAAATGCGAAATTAAAAAAGCCAAAAACTTATAAATTTTTTATATTATATCTAAAAAATCTCGAAGATAATATTGGTATAATATTGATTGATAGTTAGGGAAGGTAATATACTTATATTTCAATTCAGTTTTTTAAAAAAATCCAACATATTATCAATTTGAAAATGTTTATTGGCAATTTATGAAAATATACAATTTAATACTAACTGAAATATAAGTATTATTTTACCTATAATCTATCAATATTATTTTCGAGATTTACTAAAGTAAAAAAATATTCCTATCTTTTTGAGTTTTCGAACGGAAACAGAAGAGACTATTATTTGTTTTAACTCTACATTTAATAAATTTTCAGCAGTATTGGCTTTTGAATATGCTTCGATAATATCTTTTAGTTTACTATATCTACTAGGATGCGAAAAGATGATTTCTAAAATATTTATTATTTGTTCCTTTACACAATCATGCGGAAGTACAACACCTAAAATATCTAGGAGTAATTCTAGATAGGAAAGGAAAGCCAAACAAGATTTAATGGTTATATTAAATAAAGCCAGAGCCAAATATAAGTCCTTTATGAAGATATAGTCATCAAACCAAATACTTATTCCGTTAAAAATTCGACTTTTTATAATTCTAATACTCACTTCCCTACATTATGGCATTGAAACATGGAACGATACAAAATTGGGTAACAAAAAGTCACAAACATTTATTAACAAATGTCTAAGATATATCACCAAAACTTTCTTCTCTGTGAATACAACAAACAATATCCTATGAGCCAGATGAAAAACTCTCCCATTATATAGAATGATAATATAGTAAAATTAAACTAGTAGGCCCCAAACAACTTTATATATTAAACACTCGTCAAAGTATCCCAGGAGGAGTCATCCCTCAAATCATTTATAACATATAAAAATAGTTGGTTCGGCAGGATAACCAGATCAAGTCTAATCTACGATCATCTGAAAAATGACTGCTGAGTTGAGAGGTAAATAAATTTATTTTTAAGAAAAGATCTCTAATACACTATTGACTGCTAGTTTTCTAAACGAATGATATCTAGTTTTCTATTTTTTGTTGTATATGATAATGTTATTTTATTATCATCCGTAGTTTAATGATTAAAATTCTTCATGACTAGGAAACTTATTGGCCGAAATTAGTAGATTAAGAGATATAAATTTGATTATTAGTTAGAAGTAAACTATGAGAAACAAATGAAACTTTATAAATAATTTTTCCGATTACAAAGTGAAATTAGAATATAACCTAAGAATAATCTATTACGCCACTATGTGTCTTTTACTGATTACAAAACACTTATTATACCTAAACAGAAAATTTGACTAAATAAATAAATAGCTATTTGTATTTGGAAGAAATAGTTTCCTTTCTTACCCTTTTCTCTCTCACACTCATATATACCTCACTCTAATACTACAATTGGATAGAGCGTAGTTTCACTCATTTTGATAATTATATATCAGTTACAAGGTTTGTTTCTATCCTTGAGAAAATAAATCGGTATAATTATATGGAGGGTAGGCACATCATAAAATTCACGTTCGCTTATTTTGGGAAGGTCTGTAACCAAGTGCTAGATAAGATAAGATAGAGCAAATTAAATATATCAGGAATATCTAAGAGGTAAAATATTTCCAAAATAAGAATTCATACTAATAACATACCCCTTCTTTAACATGTTTTATGCGTTATCCGTAATTACTCCGTAACAAAAATCATTTTTGTATTTTATAAATAGACCACTTTTTTCATATTATAAATGTAATTGTCTCATATTTGTAAAATGTTTAAAAATGTGCTTTTTAATATATATATATAAATAAAACTCCTTAATATGAACAAAGATATAATATAAATAAGATGGTAAAATTTTTTTAATATATTAATATCAAAGTTGAAAAAAAAATTAGATTTAAATTTAAAAAAAAACCCATTTATTTTAATTTTTTAAAAACACTCTGATTAATGCAAACTTTATCGTTTAAATTTATAGAAACATGAATTAGTAAGAATGCTGTCCAAGATGGCATAAGAAAATGATTTGAATTTTTTTTGACATCATTATCACATCAATACTTTAATAATTTATGGATTAAGTGTGATGATAAAAAATACTTCCAAATATATTATTAAAAGAAGCATTAAATTTAGTACTAGTCGTACAAACTATAATACTATTAGATTTAGGATCTAATAACCCAGAAAATGATGATTTTTTTAGTAACAAATGTTTCTGAGTTTAATATACGAATAACAATGAACAATTATTATCTTAAAGATAGTAGAAATATGTAAGTAAAATACTTTATATAAAAAATATTTGAATTTATGTAAAAAATAAGTTAAGAAAAAACTGGTAAAATCCTGCCTAACTTAATATAATGTCATTTGAAATACTTCAAATAATTGAAGACCATTTGTCTAATTGACATAATTTTGAATTCTAACAAATTATCTAAAGTTACAATCATGACAGCTCCCTCCTTAATAGGTGGCATCTTAACCTGTATCTCTTAAAGGAGGCATTTTCCCCTTAAATTTTATTTTATGATGTAGAAGAATTTGCACTTCACTTTTTAAAACCTTTTGGTACTCCCCGCGTAATCCAATCCTCTCTAAGTTCCATAATTTTCGAATTTTCGTAAGGCCCTATCAAAAGTGCATTCTTTTCTTGTCTCATATAATAGGAATTCTCAAGATCCCTCATAACGGCTATTTCTTCCCTACCACTTTCGGGTGGGAATGCTATAAGGGAAGGCAAGCTTTCGGTTATCAAATATTGGTGGTGGATAGGTACTAAAGGAATGTTTTCGATTCCGACAAGCTTCATAACTTCGTGAGCCCATAGCCCTAAATTTAATTATGAGTTTATTTTAAAAACATTTAAATAAGATAAATTTCAATATTTTTTTTTCTCGTTTTAGAAAAGGAATTTTGTGGTATTTCAAGATAAATGAGAAACTTCAACTTTCCAAGAAATACGTACACGGGAAATTTTAAAATTATTTTGGCAATACCGGCACTTAGTTAAACCATGATAAAAGATTTCGTTTTATTTGACTAAGTTAAATGCTTAAAAGAGCCACTAATTCTTTATTAAGTCGTCTCTTTAAGGAACACATGTGACTTATATTATTTTGTTACGGAAATTTCCTAAATTTTATTGGGAAGTTTCCAGAAGTCCCCCTCTCCCCGTAATAAATTTGAATCTGGTTAGAGCGTCACCTTTTTTAAATAATAGCGGCAGCGTGCTACCTTGTTTAAAAAGGAGCAGCACGCAACTTTAAATAGTTCTAAACAAAACTAGAAGGTAGTATATATGAAGTATTAATGATATTGAAGAAAGATTTTTTTTTTAAATCTAATTTTCGATAAATTGATTGGACTAAATTTACTTATACTACCCAGTCAAAAAAATTAGAATCTCTTTACCTAAAGGACAAGTAAAAGGAGAAATATACCTCGCAATGCGATAAAAATCAGAAAAAGAGATTAATTATATATATATAGTTTACAGTTGAAATCAACAATATTTTAAAAAATAGAAACCTGCGCAATTAACAACGTGCTTAGTAGTATATTCCACTTTTTCGTAATTAACACTTTCTGAAGTAGCGTCTGAAGATAACTTTAAATTAAACAAATTATACAATATAACTCAATCATTTTGGCATTATAAAGGAAAAAAAGAATCGAATTATATATTGCCCCTTTAAATAATCTCAACATTTGTGTAAGGATTATAAAATCGAAAATCGATGTAAACTAAAAATTAAAATCTAAAACGAAGTTTTGTTAAAGTGATAAATCTTAAAAATTTATTCATAAATTTCAGGTAGTTAGGGATTTGATTATGTTTATCAGAGACAAACAGGTCCGGCCCTAAGCCAGACCCGGGTATACGGGCCGGGCCTAAAAAAATTATAAATACCCGGCTGGATCTAAAAAAATTATTTTAAATTACCCGGGCCGGATATTTTAAATCACTATTATATATAAAAATTAAAAATATATATATTTTAAAAATCCGGGCGGGGCCTGAAAATATAAAACACGGGCCTGGTTGAAAATTTATCTTAAAAAAATCAGGGTCGCACAAATGGTACCTCTGTAGTAAACTTAATAAATTGGTTAATTTACATAGTCTGAAATATAATTTATATATTATAATATTGCTATTATTATTATTGATTAATGGTAAAATAGATATACATAGGTAAATTAAATAATATCATTCAAATTAGTGGAGATCATAAACGAATATTAAATCTATGTTTCTCTAACAGAGCATCTAAAATAAAAAAATTTAACCAAAATTTTTTTAAATCGAGGAGGGTTTTAAAGTGAATATTTTTTAAAAAATCCGAGCCAGGGTTTAAAATCTAAACCTATGCATGATGATTCTTTAAGACTTAAGTTCAAAACATACTAAAATAAAAAAGTTGACTTAATTTTTTAACATCGATGCAACAGCTTAAAAGCGCCTTAATATCGCAGTCAATACAGGGTATTTTGAATAGGCTCGACTGATATATTAATCTTGATTTAAATTGTTGGTTAACTTTAATTTTAATTATTCCTATGAGGAAGTGTCTGCCCAATTGTACTCCTTCTAACCCGGATAAACAAATATTTTGTCTAATTTACGGCTTGCAATTTGATATATTTTTCTCTTAATTTAACGGAAGGGAAAAACTTTTTTGAATTTTTTTTCCAAAATTAATTGTTTTGATAAAGGCTTTATCATTTCACACAAAACAAAAAAAAACTCTTAAAAAACCCGATTTACAATATTTCAATAAATAATATTGTATAATACATACTAATGTTTCCACTTTCTCGCCGGATGCAGGCTGTGGCGCCACATTTGTGTTCGTCCCCGTCACAACCCAAACTCTTCCACTGGCATCGTATGTAATCTTAGTTACGCGACAATTTTGCAAGATAGCGGCCCCAGCCATTTTAGCTCTTTTGGCAAGGGCCTGGGTCAGGGAATATGGATCTATGTGACCATCTCGAGCCGTGTAAATGCCGGCTAAAATCTTGCTCAAAGAGATATGAAAAGGATAAATATATAACAATAATGTTGAGATTAAATTAGGCGACCATTTTGAGAGAGAGGAAATACGACGATCCATTTATAATCATACGTGTAATTAATTTTTTCTATATCAAAACATTTTATCTTTGTTCCAAAATATTTACGCATGAATCCATACGAGTTATCGCTAATCACTAGATTTTAAATATTAGGCTGAAATTAATTAATTATTAAATTAGTAAGGAGTGGCTATCGGATGATAAAAATTTTTTAAGGCGGAAGGGGGGGGGGGTAATTTAATATATAAAAAGGGGGGGGGGATTTTAATATATAATTTAAAAAAATATATATGGGAAAAAGAAAAAAGATTTAATTTTGAGTCAATGTAGAGTGACCAAAAGTTTCTCCTAATAGCTATCTCCTTATGGTGGCAACCAGAATTGTTAAAGTAGCGCGCTACTTTCTTCAGTAAGGATAGCTATAGCGCGCTTCTTATAAAAATAGAGATAGAGGTAGTGAGCTTCTTTTTAGAGAGTAGTTAAGTAGCGCGCTATTTGGCTACTTTCCATTTTATATAATAAATTAATACATTTATTAAAATATATTAAATTAATACATTTATTAAAATATATTATTTAATTTCATAATTAATTTAATTTTGAAATTATATTTCAAAATCTGCATTTATAAATCTAATTTATTATAATTTAATATATAAAATGCCACCAATCGAGATAGATCTGTAAGAGAATTTTGAGAGATAGCAATGAAATTTCCCTTGAAAATGATATTGTGGAATTTTATTCACCCAAGTTTGCGGAATATTTTGAACTTAATAGAACATGGTTTAAGTTTATATGTAAAAAAACGCCGGAGATTAATCCAATAAAGTAGCTTCAACTTGGAAAAACATTTTAAATATTATTTATAAATATTATTAAAATTATTCATATTTATTTAGAATATCCACATCTCAAATTTGAGATTGAAAAACTTAATCATTTTGTTTATTAGAGGAAACTACATCCAAATTAAATTTTATTCAAACTAAAATAATCCACTAAGTGTTTCACAAAAAATGGTTGATAGTCATGATCAATTTCATAAATGATACAATTCAACCAATTTCCTTTGTCGAGAATACCTCGTTTATCAATCTGATAAAAATATTATTTCCAGGTACCAAGATATTTTGCAGGTAGATATTGATGGCATGAATTGGCTAATTTTCAAGAACTGAAGGTCATTAATGTTAGATCTATCAAATATCTCTTATATCTGCACAACAGTAGATTGTTGAACTATTAACTTTTTGATTTCTTATTTGATATTCATATTTTTTAGATCTTATTTAGGAGTAACTGGCCATTAGCTAGATTTTAAGACACCCTGTTACATTAGTGGTGAAAATAATAATTGAATGTCAGTCTTTTGATATGATTACAGACATTATTTTTGACATCCATAGGTTTTAAAAATTCAGAACATAGCTTGCAAGATGGTGATGGATTTCTCACAGCTTTTAAATTAAATTATAATTTTTTTTAAAATATTTGGTGAAGATACGAAAATTTAAGAATGTTATATTATATAACAAAGAAATGACATTGTCAAGCACCTTTTTGCAGGATCCAAAGGGCAACTAGATAGGATAATATTGAATAATCTTATACCAAAATAAGATACGATAGCCAAAACATCAAGAACATCACCTACAATGGAGGATTTCTTTGAAATAAATGTTAATAACACAATAATTTTCAAATCAAAAAATAACTCATTTGAGTATTTTTCTTATATTAAAAATAGGTATATAAATTTAAATATAGCCTTGATCTTAAATCTTAGTGTTGAAAACTTATATAGAAAAGCAAAGCTTGTACTACCTATATGAACATCCCTCTAGACTTATGGAAAATAATATTTTAAATTTTTTAGTCATATTTTTTTATTTGTGGACATAGATTAGATAGATATATAAAAAATAATTTAAATTTTTTTTTAAAGTAACTTAAAGAGTAGAGAAATCTACTTTCTAAAAAAGTAGCTAATAGCGCACTACTGTTTAAAAAATGGCGGTAGCGGTATGGCGCTGCTTTCAATAGCAATGTTTAAAAACACTGGTGGCAACTTCTCTAATGAGCCGCTATTAATAAAAAAAATGGGAAGGTGGGATTCCAAAAAAGTAATTGTTAATAATAAATCTCCCTAAAATATTTTAAGATGGAAATTAATGATTTATGGTCTGATAGCTATCCACTTACCCATAAATTATTCCATTTTTCCCCAGGAATATATGTAGTTTAAAAAAAATAATCGATGGAGTTAAATGAAAAGAATAAAGAAAGAAAAATAATAAAGAATTATTATAAAAATAACATTATAATTTCATGTTATATTCTAATGAATGATTTCTTTTGAAGGAAAATAAAATAAATTTTTAAAAATTTGTAGAAAAGATCAAACACCACTTTTATTTCTAAAAAGATTAGCACTAAGGACGCTACCACTAAAATGGCGTACTCAAGATGGGATGATCTCTAGTAATGTGATGAAAAGTTACGGAGACTAGAGGAAAAATGTTATAAGAATAATTTACAATATATCCTAGGTTTAGAATTGGAATACTCGAAACGCATTTTTCAGAAGAGGGAGAAAATAGTCAATACATAATAATAAAAAAACATTATAAAAATAACAAGGTAGATAAGGAAAATATATTTATTGTGGTAGATTTTTAATTTTATCCTCTATAAAATTTTCCAAATTTTGAAGATTAACCAAAAATTTGAAAAATATATGTTATCAAATAAAATTATTTACTTATACCAAATATGAACTCTCAAAATAAAATATATTTATAATATTATTAATAAAGTAATTTTTTAAACATTTTTAGTGTCAATTATAGGACACATCTCCTTGACTTCCTCAGGGGTAATCAATCTCTGTTCAACACTAGAGTCATCAATCCATACTTTGGGATTATCTTTAATAATAAACATTTGATTTAGTTTAAAAAAATTAATTTCTAATGGCTGTTCTTATCAATTTAAATAGATCAATAACTTTTTACCCGTTAATTTTTTAGCATCTCTTCTATGATTGGTGGCCAGTGCGCAAGCGTAATATCTATTCATCTGATATTTCATTTCCTCAAGTCTGAGTTGATTGGTAGCCAATCTAATACTACCAGGAATGTGAAAAGCTCCAGAATACTCGTCATAATTATCTAATTAAAGAATATTTGCTTAATTTTTTTTAGCTAAACCTATTTTTATATACTTTTTTGAGCTAATGTGTCTGATGGGAAGAGGGAATGGTAACAAGATAAGCTATCGTAATGAACTTTTTTCATGTTGATTCCAGGATGAAAGTAGGTGACCAGGCCTGCCTTTAATATGCAAATTAATTTTTCGCTTTCTGTAAGTTGGAGTTAAAAAATTAAATATTCCTTTCATACTTTTCCTTTACTTCTTTCTTAATTTCTCTCAATTTTATATAAAAAATATATATTACAGCATGCCAAGTAGAACCAGCGGTGAGTTCAGTTTTTTCTAGAAGTACGACCTTTAGCTTCGGATTAAGCTGAGTTAAATGGTAAGCCAGACTGGCCCCGAAACACCCACCTCCTATGATTGTCACGTCTACATTTCGATGAACGCTAATTTGACTAATATTTCTGAGTTTGTGTGCGAGATAATGAGTGTTCGAGCCACAAAAATAGTCTAATGTTGAGCGGATATTAGGGAACTGGCTAAATATATAGAATAATTTCAGTGTTTTGAAGACACTATAATAAAAAGATTCTAGGATCTTTTCCTTATACACATTTATTTAATTTATTATATGGATGTATTATATATCAGATTCCTGAATTCATCTCTATTTTGTGACATTCTGATTAATTAAATTGATGAAAGGTGATTCATTACTAAATAATTTGGATATATAATTCATGTTTGAAACCTGGACTATAAAAAAGTTATTTTGTATCCTAAAATTCTGAAAGAGGTTTTGTGTACTTAAATTTGATGTGGTTACCAGTGTTCCAAACATCTGTTAATCTACAGGAGCGGCCGATGTGAGTGAGACATTATATTTAATAAACAGTAATTTTAAATCTGAGAAATAATCTTATAATGATAATAGATGATACATATATATATATAACATAATTTTAAAAAGTAACTGGTTACGTTTGTCGTTGTATTGCAAAAAATGTAGACAGTAAATTAGTTATTTATTTTTGCAAATATGCAGCTAAAAAAAAGATATTTTTTTTGCAGCAAAAGAATTTAAAACAAGTCACAATCAGCCATAAACATTACCCATTTTTACATGAGATCAATAGATTTTGGGGAATAATAAAATATAATTAATTATTCATGATAATGGGCCAAATATTGGATTGGCTTTAAAAAACGGAAAATTTCTAAGCGTTTTCTGTTTTGCCTATAAGTATAGTAATTTTTTGCATACAAAATATCGGTTTAAAGATAGATGGTAAGTAAAAATATATCTAAATATCGGATAGATTTTGATGAATCGGATCGGTATAAACCTAATCCAAAATTAAAAATGTATTGATGAAAATAGTTTAAATATAAAACAAAACCGTGATACATTTTTTAGCACAAAGAGTAAAGATTTTCGCTATTTATTATAATTTTCCTAATATTACAATATTTATTAAAATGCTACCATTCCTTCCAGCGCATTTGTTGAAAGCTTATTCAGTCTCGCTAAAATGTTTTTACTAATAAGTGGGGATATATCCTACTATAAAAAAATGTTTTATTGTGCAAATATTAAAATATTCTGGTGAAAATGCATTTATTTTGGCATAGTATCTACGGACCTGTTTAGAATATGTATAGGTATCGATACATTTTAAAATTATCTTTAATGAATATGATTATTTCAAAATTTAATTTTAAAAAATCATGCAATTATTTCAAAATTTAATTTTAAAAAATCATGTAATTATTTCTTTATTTTGATATGTATCTAATATGTTTGGCAATGTCTAAAATCAAGGTCATGAAGTGAATTCGTACTGAACGACCGCAAAAATAAATCCAACTTAGTGCCTTGCGGCGCTTAATCAGAAATCTTTTGTCAGATTGATCCCAAAATTTATTTTAAAATATCAGTCGAAAATTTATTTTTATAAATATGTCCCAATCTAATCCGAATTTTTTCTTTTTATTAATTAGGAATACAGTATTAAACTTAGGAAAAATTATAAGTATTGAATAATAAACAATTTGTAGTAATTTGATATGAATATTAAAAAATTACTAGATTAAATTTTGTCGAGATAAAAAATAAATTTTAAAATAAAAATGTCTCTCTGAGTCCAACCAAAAGTGTTAGGGTGGATAGGACTCGAATTAATAGTCCTGCAAATCTGCTAAATATTTTAGGCCAAGCTCGGGTCTTAAATTTTTTTTAAAACTCGGACTAGACCAGGCTCGGGCCTAAAAATATATATAAAAAATAATGTACACATGTTCTCTAGTTTTATCAAAATAAAATGATAATTAGATGTTAACTGTGATAAGAATAAAGCAGTTAGTGATTTATACTTTATATCCAAAAAATGCGTTTAATTTACATTTTAAATTAATAATTTAGATTTGGGCCAGACTTAAAATATAAATCTGGGCTAAGCCAAGTTAAGAATTTTGGGCCAGGCATAGGCAGAAGAAAAAATTTGAAATTTTAAGGAGGATCAGTTTATGCAAAGTTCTAATTTAAATTAAAAATCAAATTAATAACTCATCAAAAACTTTTACATTTTCATGTTTTATAAATCACCTTTTTTGAAAAAGTAATTTTCTATAAATATATTTATAAGGCTGTGCTGATTCCAATATTGATGCAAACCTGATCTGATAGATAACTAAGATTTAGATTAATTTTTATTTCCCATCTATTTTTGAACCAATTTGATAAAATAAATAATATTTTATATGCAAAAAATAAATTTTACATGCAAAAAATAACTATGGGGCAAAACAAGAAACACTTTGAAATTTTCTGTTTTTTATGGTCATGAATGATTAATTGTATTTCAATATTACTCCCTAAAAGTTATATTTAAAATATTATAGATGATTGTATCTTCAAATATTTTTAAAGTGTTTTCTTGCTGGTAAAACTAATATAAAATTTTAAGCTACTTTTATTTTAAAATAAATCAACATTTTTTAAAACAGTATAATTAAGATAAATTGAAATTTAGTTCCTTTCATTCATTTATTATTATTAGGAAATTCTAAACAAAATAAAAAATATTTAAATATATATATAATCATAAAAAATAATATTAGATTGTATTGATCTGATATTTTTGAAAATAGCCTGAGTGTTGATCTATAAAATGGAATAGGAGGAATATTTTTACAATGGCTTTATATAAATACTAAAAAGTTATCACTTAGAGAATGTTTTCTGATCATGATCAAACTTTGGATGAGTTACCAGTTAAAATAGATTATATTCACAATTTATAAAAATAAAATATATCTTATATATAAAAATTTAATCTATAAATAATAATTTAATCTGATTTTAAGATAAACTTTATATAAATTCAAAGGCTTACTCATAAAAATTAATTCAATAGTTCTCAAAATAAATAAATAGAATAAAATTAATGTGTTTAAAAATTTAAAAAGTTTCATACTATTTATATTAAGCATCTATGTAACAATTCAATTGTATGAAAATTTGCCTTAAATTATATAGTATTACCTATAACTTATAGTTCATTGTCTAGTTAAAATGAAAAATGTGCTAAGTGATAACCAAAGATAATATTATGCATATTAAATTTTGTGGGTTCAGCTAGATAATTAATTATGCAGATATAGCTAACAGAAATTCCAGTATTTTATATTAAAAAAAATATCGAAAGAAGTTTTTATGTTATACATTAGTTTAGGATTCTTTTAAGAGATTAATTATAAGGTATTTCAATAAATATAGAATATCTGTTTTATATCTTAAATATATTAGAAGCTTAGTTTTAAATAAATTTAAACATACATAATTGTAATATATTTTTAAAATACACTTTCTATTTCTCATATTCAAATTAATATGTTAAAGATTTTATAATAACTTTGAAATTTCAGAGCATAAAAATTTAGTTTTCGGCAGAGATTGCATTTTTCATAAATCACATGTTATGTGCATCTTTTAAATCCTCGAAATACACATATGCAAGTAAATTGGATATAAATAAATGTAACAAAATTGCAAATATAAAGAAAAACAAAAGCATATAATGCGAATCCATGATACATTGTTTGTAATACTTAATGGTTTGAGCGAATATATAAAAAGGACATAATATAGTATAAAGTGAAATGCTAAATATCGTCTATAAGGTGTGCATATTTAATTAATTATTCTATCATTTCTAGATTGAATTTAAATCCCTATAATATAATTAAAATATTTGTAAAAAATTAAATATAAGTTTTTATATAAAATTCAGTGATGCCTTTAGTTATAAATGAACCAAAAAACTGGTTATAAAAATGTTTTTAAGGAAAAGGAAACAAATCTTAAATATTTAATTACCATTTGAATTTGGTTCAGAGTTCATATTTATTTTGGTGTGATTATGTTTGAATTCAAAATCCTCATTTTCATATTTACCAATAGGACATTCACGGTAAACTACGCATAAATATTCGTTTGTCCCGTCGTAATTATAAGACGATCCCACACTTATCAGCTAAAAAATATTAACGTTTTTAAATAAAATTTTAAGATACAAATCATAATTAGTTATTTTGAAAAAAAATTTATGTCTAGCGTAATAAAGAGTAGTGAGTGTTATATTATAATTATTATTATCGAAATATTATAATATCCAAACTAAAGTTCTGTTAAATATTTTACTACCTGATCCTACTCTTAGCCTTGTTGCAAATATTTTTGAGATTTATGTCTGGCCTCTGGCCCGAAATTGTGAAAAATTGTTTAGAGATAACAAAGTAAAAAATATTTATTTTACCTTAATGTTATGAAAATTAAATATTCAGTAACTTTGATGATTTAATGATGTTCATCTATTATTTTATTTATTATAAAATGAATAGTAAATAGGACCAATCCAAAATCTTTTTGATACATATGAAAAATTATCAAAGTTGAGCTTCAGTTCAAATGTATCCAAAATTATGGACTCTCTAAGTTGGTGGTGGGATACAAGTTTAAAATTTAAAAATATTCTTTCCCGGTAAAATGATAGTGGGCTCGTCATAATTTGAATGATGAACCTCACTTGATATGTATATTTTCAAAATATTTAAGTAAGAAATATCATGGAGGATATAAGAAAGCTAAAAAATATTTCGTTTTTCATAATATTGGGGGAAAAAAATATAGAATGCCCTAGTTCTCAAATAATTTTTTTTTGATAATAATTATAAACATTTTGCCATGCCGAAAACGATGTCGTTTATGGAAATCGCGTAGGCGCGCGCCATCGATTTTCATATCAGCGGCCCATGGGATGGGCAAAATTATTTTAAAAATAATTTCCATATTTTATGCATTTTTATTTTGAAAATTGGTCATAATTATCATATCAATCAGGATTTTGATGAATTCAATCAATCAATAATCTAATTCCAAAAGTTACCATTTTTACATATCTAAGTGTTTGATTAGGTGATATGAACACCACTCATGCTTGGGTCATAGTTTACATTAGTGATCTGCATCAGGCCTAATTTTTTAAGCTCGGCCCGGCCCGAAATTATTTTTATAAAGTTTTCCTCGGCCCGATTTTATTTAATAAACGATATATTATATATGGCGTCTATTTTCTATAAATATAATCACATATTTTTATTTTAAATAAAAAATTCAACATAAGATTGAAAAATTTAAGATATATTTTAAAAAATTTCTAAGGCCCGACCCGACCCAGTAGATGACATTAAATACCTTTAGTTGAAAATCTTATCAAAAGAATATTTATTACTGCTCCAAGATATAAAACGGCATAAACTGAATTTGAGTTAGGGGCAGATTAAAGAAAAAGGTACAATAGATCTAACATCAGACATTCTAGATATGGATAACACGATTCCACCCTAATATCAGTTTCAAATTATCGATTCCAATGATGATAATAACAATAATGCCACATATGAAAACGTTAAAAATAAATGTTCCAACCATGTGGAATAGTAACTTAATTATGGTTTAAAGCATATCTGGAGTAAATAAATATTTAATTAATAATGTTTTGAAAAGAATTGGGATATCTCACACTATAAATCAGATCTAGTAGAAGAACTATTAGCTTTTCTTTCAAAATTGAAAGAAATAGTTGAATTTTTATCAGCAGAAAAAGGACTACCTTTAACCTGGTATCATTTTTTAGATATGAAATTGAAACAAATTTAATAGTAAATGATAATGATAGCTCGGAATTCATTTCTCTAAAGGAAAATAAGCTAAAAAAATAGATTACGTTTTCTTTTGCGATCAGCAAGTTATACATTTAAATTTATTTTTATTTCAAAAATAATATGTCAAAAATAAAAAATTGTGTGAATGTATATGATAGAATAAAATTACTCAGAGTGGAAATTTATTGTAAAACATCTTAAACGTATAGAGTATTATGATATTAAGGTAGTAAATATAGCAATAAGATAAAATATTAAATTCAAATTATTTGATAAAATTAGAAACTTAATATTCAACAAGTACAAATTATGATTCCACTTTAAGTGATTTAGAGAATGACATATTCTTCAAGGAAAACGCCATTCACAAGTATGGATGTTTTAAATTTCTGTAGAGAAAAGAGGATCGATATTCATAATCATTACATGCTAGAAAAAATTCTCTGGTTTCCGGCAACTAGCACACTTAGGGAAAGAGTCAAGGAGATCATTATTATGTCCGGAAAATTTTAATAAAATCATTTTTATAAATGACAATTATAAAATTGATTTTGAATTTATATTTTTCTCTTCAATAAAAATCTAATAATTTAATTTTTCTTAAAAAAAATTTTATAAAAAATTTATAACGATGCACCGATTTATGACGCCTATGTTGACAGAGGCTAAAAACAGGCGCGCCGCCGACTCCCGATTAGATTTTCGAAACTCACTCTGGCCGCTGATAGTTTCGTCGGCGTACAGGTCTAATTATAAATAACGGCGAATAATTGACCCAGTACTTTTTAAAAAAATTCTTAGTCTTTTTTTAATTTTTACCAGTAAATTTAATTAGTAATAAAATAGAATATCAGTATTAAATATAAAATAGGCTGTATTTTAGAGTTAAAAAATCTGATCATTAAAATATAATTTTCTCAGCAAAAAAATCTTTATAACTAATAATGAAATTATCTAGTAATAAGTCATTCAGTGTCAAAAAACACCCTTTCGCAAATCCCTCACACTGATTGCTTAAAGGATTAGATATATGTCTCTGTATAGGGTAAAAAAAAAATAATCAAAAAATCAACCTATTGGGCAAGGTTTAAAGGTTAGAAAGATATTTATCTGAACTGTAAATGTCTAGGAAAAATGTAGGTTATGCAGGTAAAAATTATTTTTATTTATATTTGAGTTTCATTTTTTTATTATAAACGAGTTTAAATTTAATACTAAATATGTTTAATAATAAAGCAATATATTTTAATAATTATATTTTATTTAGTCAAATAATAGATGCCATAAACCTTTTAGTGTAATCTTATAAACACCCACCTCCCAAATATTAGAATTAATTTCAGAATTTTTCAGGAGTTTATATGTCTATAAAAACATGTTTGGAGTAATTTCAACTTTATAATACTTAATACGCAAGGTGGCGTTTGTTATTTAATATTATAAATATCGAGACCTGCAGGCCCGGCCCTAAGTCCGGCCCGTATTTTAAATTTTTAAAATATACCCGGGCCGGGTCTAAAAAACACCCGGGGCGGGCCGTATTTTTTTAAAAAATTTATACAACATGAATTATTATATTCGTAAATTAGATATAGTAATAATGATTAAATATAGTTATGATTAATATAATGTTTGGAGTTAACACTAGCTAACACTCATAGTATCTATTATTACATAAAATTATAGTTTTCCTGCCATGGAATAAATACGCAAAGGATTAAACATTATTATATAATATATGTTATATTTTTTATTAATTAAAATATCAGTTTTATTTTTTTTATAAATACAATTAATATAGTATATTCTCAAAATATTATTTACACAAATTTTTTATAATATCAATTTGTAATATACTAAATATCTGTTTAGAATAAAAAAATAAATAAAATATGATAGTTGTTAAACGGCTCGTTTTGAGCCGATTTTTAAAAACGGCTAAGGCTGCATTCATAGTGGAGACGGATCCGTTTTTACATCCGTTCCGTCAAAAGTCAAACTCATTAAAAATGATATAAATGTTCATAGACTATAAAAAAATTGTAAGTAACGTTATAACACTCTATAAGATTTGCCGGATCAAAAAGTCAAAATGTTTTGACTTCAAAATTTGCCGGATCCGTTTTTAAGACGGAAGGTATCGGAACGGACGCACTATGAACATATATATCATTTTTAATGAGATTGACTTTTGACGGAACGGATGTAAAAATCGGATCCGTCTCCAATATGAATGCAGCCTAACTCAGTTTTTTATCCAGAAAAATAGTATGCAAGCCTGAAAATCTTGCTCATAGAGGGAGCAAAGGTCTAGACATTTAGTATCGAAATTTCGAGGCTTAGTCAGTGTTTTTCTGGCGAAAATATTGAGTTAGCCGTTTTTAAAAATCGGATCAAAACAAGCCGTTTAACAACATTAGCTAATATGCTTGCTTATTAAATGATAATACTCGCCGAAAAATATGATAAAATATCAAATAGGTCAATTTTTAATATACCAGGTCGAATATAATTGTAAAAAATTCATAGCCGGGCCTAAAAAAAATTTTTAAAAAAATCCGGGCCGGCCCAAATTTTTTTTTTAAATATCCGGGCTGGGCCGTAAAAAATTTTTGAAAAAAATTTCCGGGCCGGATCGATTTTTTTTAAATCCGGGCCGGGCCGTGCAAATGGTACCTCTGCAGGTCTCTGATAAATATAATATTCCAAGCTAATAAATTTTTGGACAACTTTAAAAAATTAGACGTTTTAATGGTAATAATTAAAATTTTTATTTTCATATCAAACAGAAAAATTAATTTAATTTATGAACTCATTTTGCTAGTAATACAATTAAAATAATTGAGGAAAATATATATATATTGGCAAATATTAAAATGAAAAAATGAATATTTACTTAAATTTCATACCCAGCCTTAACCTTAAGATACTGACATTATTTAATTTATACTGGTAAAATTAATAACATACTAAGACCGTGTCCTAGGTGGGTCTAATACTCAAAAGCCAAAAAAAGCAAAAGATAACATTTAAAAAAAACGAAAAAGCATAACCAAAAGAACGAGAATAAAATACGAAAAATAACAATGCCACCAAATATATAAATAAACCCGAATAGGATGTTCTCGATCAAATACTCTCTAGCCTATACTAAAAAGCAATTAAGTATCTAAATTAAGCAGACCTAGAGCACGTCCAACAATTTTTTTTATTATAAGGAAAAAATATTTTTTTTAAATGCAAGGTTTCGAAGAAAATATTGGAGAAATAAATAACAATATTTTATACCTATCTGCCTATAAATATATGAAATCACAATTTTTATAGAATTCATAAAGAATATAAATTATTGTAATTTTATAAGCAGAAAATGATAACATAACTAAAAGCAGGTAACAAAAATTATATGAAGTGGAAACCCTATATATTTTATATAAATAATTTATAATATGAAAATAATCTTTTATAATATATGTAATATAATGAGTATTATTATAACTTGTTTAAACTTCCAACCATCAGAGAGAGAGGAAATAGTATGAGTTAATTCATCCTCTTGACAATGTATCACTCTATATACGTGTTTAACGTTATTCTTTATTTTTAAAATATGATTTAAATTTGATATAAAAATAATCGCTAAAAACATAAAACTATAACGACTTATTAAATCATCATGTCAGACTATTATATCTGCACGTTATTTTTTATTATATATAAGAGATCTAAAGACCTATACTGAAATCCATCTTAGTCATAATAGTATAATCTAAAAAATCCAAGCTGGCCTGGGTCTAAATAAAAATTATAAACATAAGCTAGGCCTAAAAACAATACATAAATCGGGGCAAGGGTGCAATCATTAAAAAGAAATTTAAATTATATCAAATAGTGTTGGCATAATTAAATCAAATTGATTTTTAAACAGCGATTTATATCAATGATTTATTGAACAAATAATGTTTAGCTTTTGTTTTCAAATAAATCATTTTACTATATTTTGAACAATGAATTTTGATAAAATCGCTAAATTTTATTATGTTATTGCTGAATTAATTTTTGAACAGGGCATAAATTTGAAGATTTTTTATATCTCCTTAAATTTTAACAATAAAAATGATTCTTATAGAAATTAAGTTAAATATTGATTCAATATTTTGTTGGAACTATAATAATTTATTTCAGGTGCAGTAAAAAAATGTTATTTTAAAAAAAGAATAAAATATGTTTACCATTAAAATTTAATTATAAATATGCAACTATTAAATAATGACAAACATGATAAAACACTTTTTAGCTAATTCAATCTTGTTAATTGAAGAATCATTAATTTATAATCAGGTAAGAACACTTAATAAAAAAAATGAAAATACTGCAATTAATTATTTTCCTAAAATAAAATGTTTAAAATCAAATTAAAAATTATTTAAAATTTAAAAAAAATATATCTCATCTTATTTTAGTATCCAACCGAAATCATAATCAATTTCCGGTTGATTTTTCATATAAATTTCAACAATACAACATTTAATCTTTGTAAAAAACGATATAGTTGCCGTAAAAAATAATGAAGAGTTGCGTAGATCTCGATAATATTTCATCTGTTAATATCCTCAATAACTGTCACCATTAATCAACCAAAATATCAAGGCTGCTATTTCCATAATCTAAATCTTATTGCAACGAACGATACAAAAAAAAGCTGAAAATTTTTAAAAAAGGCTAGCATTTGCGGTTAACAAACAGAATATATATAGGATAAAATGATGGATATTCTTTTAGTAAAAATGGAGATGTATCTTATAGCTCCTAATAAGATTCATTAGAATTCTTATTACCAGATCAAACTATTGGATAATAAGATACTTACGGAGGAAGTGTGTGATTAGATTAAATTTATGATGTTTAGACAAGAATTTGTTTATCAAAGAACATTTATTGGTAATGTACAGGGCAGTAATTAGAGGGGAGTATTTGGTGCCCCCTCCCAATGAACTTGAACCGAATTTATATTTATTTTTTAATGAATCAGAAGCAAACCGTTTTAAAAAAATGAGCTAGAAATATATAACCGATTTATACAGTTTCATAAGGTTTTTAGTTTATAAATATTAGAATAATGTATTTTCATAATATATTTTTAGCATATTTATCTCTAGACATTATTTGCTTTTTAATTTGTTTTTTTTAAAATATTTATGTTTGAATAGAGTATAAATTTTCTTTTATAAAAATAAGCAATCCAGAATTTAAAAAATATCTCATGGGGAAAATATGAATAATCGTGATAGGGATCCTTTTTTGGAAAAAATAAGATCCTGGAACATAATAACTTCTTTTTTAAAAGATTTGATTCCTTTTTAGCCCATTAATGGTCAAGATTCTTCTAGTGGATAAAAATGCTCAATTTTTTCAAATTATATTGATTAATGCTCAAATATGATATTCTAAAAAAATAATCCTAAATAGAAAATCTAGCCTGGTGCATATATGCACCGTTAACCATTAAGAGGTTAAAAAAGATAAAAATTATATAAAATACTATAAGATTAAAAAACAACAAATATCTTTATTCTTTTTTTTGTAATTTATAATAAAAACGAGAAAATGTTTATATATTATGAAAATCCTTGAAACATTTAATATGGAGTGCGATTTGACATGTTTGGCACATATATCTTGAGTGCGTATGGCAATATCTGCATCTTCGTCTTTTTCCATCTATAATTTTGAATAAATAATGTCCAGATGAATCAATAGGGTTTTCACACTGTAATGCAAACTGGCTGGCGTGACCTGTACTTGAATTTTTTTCAATTTTTACTGGCGTTCGAAGGAGGTAGTTAGTAACTCCTCGTCTAAATGCAAGCAAACTCTTCTTGTCATCTCGATTCACGAATTTCCAGATTTTCCATGAATTTACCAAAGCTGCATCAATAAAATTGGTGAATATTGGCCACCACCATTTTTTTCCTCTTATTTTTATTCTATATGTAGATATTAGATTATCACATAGATCAACTCCACCCATGTGTTTGTTATAAGCAGTTACCATATTTGGCTGAGGAATTTTTATTTTAGAAGATATTTTCTTAGAATACCTTGAAATATTAGAAAGCAAAGAGATAGTGTGGCATGTCGATGCAACGGTCACCACCGAATTATCATTCAAACGAACTACAAATATTTCGTTTAATTTTTCAAACCTATAATCATAATATCCTCTTTCTTTTTTTGCTACAACCTTTATAGATTCAACTGGGCAATGCTCTATTCTATTGTCCCTCACAGTTCCAGTTGCAAAATATCCCATTTGTTTTAAGTATGACAAGAGTTTAAATGATGTAAAGAAATTATCAAAATATATTTTATGATAATTTGGTTTTTGCAATGCCTTTAATAATTTTATGATTACATTTCCACCTAATCCATATTCATATTTATTTTCGCTTTTTCCTTGATATATATCAAATGAGAATACGTAACCGTCGGAAGAAGCCAATATCCAAGACTTGTATCCGAATCTAATTGGTTTTCCTTTTATGAACATTTTGCAAGAATGTCTTCCTCGATATGGTATCATCTGTTCATCTATTGATAAATGATGTTTGAAAATTCCGAATTGCTGAAATTTATTATTCAATATATTAATGTAAGGCCTAACTTTATAAAATCTATCATGTATATCTATTTTAGTATTGTCTGCCAAATGGATATTATATTTCAAATTTCGAAATTGTAATTGGGTCATTGTATCCCGGATTATTGGAATAGAAATATCGCTATCATTAGACCAGTACATTCTTTCTTGTGGGAGAGAATGATATCCAGTAAATAATAGAATTCCAATAAATCTCTGAATATATTGGATGGTTATGCATATGTTAGGTCTATTCATTTGTTTAGAATAATTATTACTTTGTTCTACAATTAGGGAATATAAGTCTTGTTGAAAATTAAAGAAAATATATCTGATTGACTTTTACCATGTAAATCATTTTCAAGTTTTATTACATCTTCCTTTTCTCCATTGAAAGGGCTTGAAGAATATATTGCATCCGTTTTTCTCCATTTTAAATTGTGAGAAATTCGAGAATAGCTTCTTGTAGAATATGGTTCTGGAAGGTCGTCATCAACTGAATCTCCAATTCTACAGCTGTATCTGAAGGCAAAACTCCGACATTTGTTAAATCATTTTCATCGAAATCTTCTTCATCACTAACTGCAGAGGGGTTTGGCGGAATTATAACCATATCTCTTTCTTCAATTGGTTCCTCTTCAAAAAGTTGAGAAAGCGCTTGTTCAATTGTTGGAAAACGTTTCATTAAAAAAATTTATTAAAAATTAAATATCTAGACAAATTATTTTCGTAGAATCTTGATTTTTTTATTAGTCATCTATTATTTTGATAATTTTGATTGAATTGACAAAACAGGTGCATATTTTATATAAATAAAATTAAATCTTCAGAAAGGAAGAGGCTAAAAATAATTTTAAACTTTGAATATTTATGAACCTAATAATTTCATATAATTTGATCGGGATAAAAAATTATAATAGGAACATTATATTATTCGATTTAATCTCAGGGGGCTAAAAATTTTTTTTTAATTATTTTCAAAAGGTCTTTTTTTGGGTATAAAATTTTTTAAAAAAAAATCTTAGGGGGCTCGAGCCACCCACCCCTCCTCCCCCAACCCTTAGTGATGGTAATGGTTTTAAGTGTAATATAAAAAATTATAATTCATTATGTTAAATTTCATTTGTTTAAATTTTTTTAAATAATTTATACTGCTAGATGGTTAACGGTGCATATATGCACCAGTCAACTTTATGTGGTTACCTATTAAAATTTTAATTATTTAAAAATTCAAAAATGATTGATAAATATTGATATATCTATAATATCTACACACTAGTTTTCATCGAAATAATTTTATAATATGCTTGTGAGATCACTTAGAAAATTTTGCATTTTAGACTTCATAAATTCGCAAAGTTTGAGGGTTTCTTAGGGACATAAAAAAATATTTTTTTCATATTTTTCTTTTCCAGTTTTGATTAACAATGTCTAAACTATATAAAAATCTTTTTTATTATTTTTTAAAATAAAAACTACTATGTTAAATAAGGTATATAGGAGGTGGTGCATATATGCACCGTTAACCAGTAACGGGTTAAATGGATCGATTAACAAACCTATATTGGGTGAAATAACATTAATTTTAACAAAATGAGACATATATTTAAAAACTATTTAATATTCAAAATTTATTAATTATTAAAACATAAATTAATGAGGATAATGAAAATAGAATTAAAAACAGTGACATTATTGGAGTGGCCTAAGCTTCAGGTTGAAAAAACCCCCCAATAAAAAATTGGTGATACCCTTGGTTAAAAACATGAATTACATAAAAAAAATAACTACTTGAATAGGCTTGTAATTACGTTCTTGTATCCTTAATTTTATTAATTTTACTAATTCTGTAATATTGTAGAATTCGGATTCTTCTAATACACCTAAAATAATGAATGAGTACTAAATTATAAAATGAAATATTAATTAATATAAAGTATAGTTAATAGAAATGTACCATATCCCTGGTAAAGGTTAGGCCCGGATCTTCCCGCGTTGGATCCGGTTGGTTCATTTAAAAATATATATTAACGCATTTATTTTTAAAAAATGATAATTTATAAATCATAAATAATTTTGTTTAAAATATGTAAAATTAATAAACAAAGCAGTTTACAACACTAAAATAATCTCTTGAAATATAAAATATTGGATACTGTTGATAAATTCAGTGGCATAGGCATAGGGGGGGGGGGGTTTAAATTTTATTTTAAAAAATTTTTTTTTTTTAAATTTTAATTTAATAAATTTTTAATAAACGCTTGATTTTTATGTTTTAAATTTATTATAAATAATAATAGATATACACATTTGATTATTTTTATATTTATTAAATAAATTTTTTATTATTTTGCATTTCATAAACCTAGAGTAGTCTCTAGACAACAATCGATCAAATACATCTACGATTGAGGATTATTATAAAATACATTTTTATTCCCCTTATTGATACATTTTTATTTCAATTAAAAGAAAGATTTATTAGTCATAATCAGGGTTGGCATGTCGGTCAATTGACCGGTCAAATTCGGTCAATTGCCTGGTCAATTGACCGGAGGAATATTTGACTGGTCAAATACGGTCAAATACTCTAAAATATTAATGGCGAATAAATATTTTGATATAATTAACTAGTATGCATTAAAAGCATGTTTATCAATCTTATTATTTTTTTGCCTAATCATTGCCGTTTCTCGCCTTCTTTATTTTTTTCAATTCATTTTTCTTAAAAAAAATAAAAATACCTGATTTATTATAATCATAATATAATTTTTTCATTCTTATTTTTTAATAAATTTAAATTTTATTTAATATTTAGCCGAGTATAAATTATATAAATTCTCATTTGTTTTACTTACACTTGCTATATTTGGTTTTTAAAATTAATTTTCATTTTAATTGTTCTGGTCAGATTTACGGAATATTATTCAATTCTGGTAAAAAGTTTATTATATTATATTTATAATATTAAGAAATTATTGGAATAATTGGTCGATAATTATAAAATAGTTAAGATTGATTAACTTTACAATAATCAAAATCATTTTTTGTTAAATTTTAATATATTAGGGATTATGGTCAAACCAAAGCATCATGTTTGGAAACATTTTCAAGAAGTACGCGATGGTAAATCAGTTAAAACGGTGTGCAAGTTTTGCAAGATGTCCTATATCACCCACGTTGATAGAATGGTCAAACATTTATTAAGCAGCTGTACTATGTGCCCTGTTATAATTAAGGAAAAATTTTATTCAAATTCCAAAATATCAACCCCTACAAAAAATATCACAAATGTAATTTGTAATACTTCTAAGTCTAACTCTAATGAAGAATTGGGTGAAATTAGTGAGAATGATTATCAAATGAACAATATTTTGTCTTGTGACTCAGGAGAATTTGATTCCCTTATTTCTAATCAATCTACAAGCAAGGCGATTAAATATAAATCTCAATCTTGTATAACCGGTTTCATAGATAGAATTAATCCCAAAGAAAAAAATGAGTTGGATCAATTGTTTGCAAAGGCTGTATATGCGAGCAATTTACCTTTCCACATCACTGAAAATCCCTACATCCAAGAATTTTTTAAAAAAATACGTCCTATTTACACATTACCCAGGAGAAGGCAGCTGGCTGGATATCTTCTAGACAAAGCGTCAGGTGATATGGAGGTGAGAGTTGCAGATATAATAGATAAAGCTCCTTACTTATCAATTGTATCAGATGGCTGGAGCAACATTAGAAACGAGAGTATTATTAATTTTATGGTGATGACGCCTGTTCCAGTGTTCTACAAATTTCTAAATACTGAGGAAAATCGCCATACGGCAGATTATATTGCCCAGGAATTTAAAAATGTAATTCATGAATTGAATCCGGTAAAAGTATATTCTTTAGTTACTGATAATGCCGCTAACATGAAAGCAGCCTGGAGAATTCTAAAATCTGAATCTATTTATAATCATATACAATGTTATGGTTGTGCAGCGCATACATTGCAGTTATTCTTTCACGATTTTGAACGATTGGACGCCTTCAGTGACCATATTTCAATAATTAAAAAAATTGTTAAATTTTTCAAGAATAAACACATACCAGCTGCAGTATTTTCCCGTAATAAGAATCTTCATGGCATACCATCTACATTAAGTACAATTAGCCAAACAAGATGGGCATCGTCAATAAAATGTATGGAGCAAATTCAAATATGCAAGAAAGCTCTAAAAGCATCAGTTGTTGAAGAAGCTGTTTGTGATAATTGTCCCATAGAAATTACCAATAATATATTAAACGAAGAATTTTGGACGAAAAATTTAAAATTTTTAGCTATACTCCAACCTTTAGCTACCTCATTGTTGAAAGTGCAAGGGGATAAATGTACTTTGGCCCAAGTAAAAAACGAGATGCTTAATTTGGAAAAACACATAATACAATCATGCCATGATTCTATATTTTCTCCATCTCAAGAAAAAAAAATTAAGGTTATGTTTGAAAAGAGAAAAACTGATATAAATACATGTGCTCACAATGCTGCTTATTTATTGGACCCCCAATATCAAGGGGAGCATCTTACTAATACTGAATTTGATGAAGCATGTAATATAATACAAGAATTGGGTATTTTACAAGGTGGTGATAATCAAAATATTTTGAGTAATATAGTAAATTTCAGAAGCAAAAGCGGTATATTTAATAGCCATAATATGTGGAAAGTTGTAACTTCCATAAGAAACAATCAAATTTCGGCCTCAAGTTGGTGGAATGCATTTTGCCCACCTTGCCCATTAAGAGAAGTCGCTAATATTTTACTAACATTTCCTAGTTCGACTTCTTCTTCTGAAAGAAATTGGTCGGTTTGGGGCAATATTCACACGAAAAACAGAAATAGATTAAAGGCTTCTACAGCAGGAAAATTAGTAAGAGTGTATCATAATTTAAGATTGATTAAAAATATTAAAGAAAATAATGATATTGAATATGAATCGGAACAAGACTCTGCCACGGAGGGTGAAACATTGACTATAGAATGAATTAAAAAATATTATGATATTTATTATTATACATAGATTTATTATAATATTATATAAATGCAAAATAAAGTTAATATTGGTGTAAAAAACATTTATTTGAATTTGACCATATTTGACCGGTCAAATATCGGTCAATTGACCGAATTGTATTTGACCGGTCAAATGCACAACCCTGGTCATAATTATATTTTAAAAAGCTTTTATTTTCTTTTGCCGATTGAGTCTAAACTGTTGATTACACTTGAAACACGAGAGGATATTAAAAAAATCTCAGTTTTATGCTGATGATTTAGTAGGTTCATATAAGTTACTTTGTGATGTCGAATTTTGGTATAAAAATCTTGACAGAATATGGTATTCTTTGAGACCAAAAAATGCTCTGCAGGCCCTTTCCATGTGTAATTGCATTTTAGATTCCCTGCCTAATATCAAAACATTATTAATTATTTTAGCTACCTAGCCAATTAGTACCTGCACTAATGAAAGGTCTTTTTCAACTTTAAAAAGGTTAAAAACCTATTTAAGAAACACAACCGGTGAAAAACGTTTAAATGGATGAGCCCTATTGAATATTTATAAGGAGATTATTTTAGATAAAAATTTGATTCTAGATGAATTAGCGAAATCTCAGAGAAAAGTAGATCTCTCTTTTTAGATTCAAATCAAAAAATAGCAATAATATTTTATTAGTTTTAATATATAATCAATTTTTTTTTGTAAAAAAAATATTATTTATAAGATAATATCATCATATTTTTTTAAACCATTATTTGCATAAGAATTACACATTTTTTATATAATTGTAAAAAATTACTTTTTTTTAAATAGAGTCTTTATACATTATAATTTTTAATATTAAAATCTGTATTATATAAAATATCAACATTTTGAAAATATTTTAATTAATAAAAATATATACATGATTAAATAAAGGAATGTAAAATATATAATAAAATACCCTAAAATTTTGTTATATGAAAATATAAAACAATTTTAACAAATCCAAAAATATAAGGAATTCGCCTCCCCCAAAAATTTTAGCCCCCCCCCCCCTACCATGATAAAATCCTGGCTACGCCACTGGATAAATTATATTAATATCTACTGTTAAAAATATACTAATAATTTAAATATGTTTTTATTATAGTTTGAGCAAAAATCTTATAAGATCTTTTTTTAAAGAGATTTTTCATCGAATTTTACCAAAAATGCCAAAATCTTTTGTAATTTTCAGGCATATAAAATCTTTCAAAATGAAATCAAAGATGTTTGCTAAAAAAAAATTTCAAGTTCTGTTTATCGAATGAATCTACATTATGCGTATAAAGTGTTAATAAATATATTAGATCGGGTACTACAGCATAAGCTGGGCAATTAAAAAAATTTAAGATCCAGTACCAAAACCGATATCGTTGAAAAAATCGGATCCGGTAAATCTCGTGTAGTATGTAAATGAGATTGTTAAATAATGTTAACCCTTAAGTCATATACTCATTTTATTTTCTGACATAAAATCATATAATAAGTAAAATTTACGATTTTTTTATAAAATATTAATAAGTTTTGATAAAAACAATATAACGAAAAAATTAAAATAATCCTCATTTATTATAAAAATTAAGAAATTAAACACATAATTTAGCTTGATGATGACACCTTTTTTGTCATGATATTTGAAAATACTCATATGTCTCATTTGGGGGACAAACCTTACAATGACTACTAATCAACACCTCGTGATATCTTTTTAGGCTTGATATATCGTCTCTTAAAAATCTTAAGTGGAATATTGTACAGAGCACCTAAAAGTTTTTGTTTGATTTTTAACCATGGATTTGACTAGTTTTTTAAAC